GATAATCAATAAATCAATTAATCGCATGATAATTAAAATTAGCTCTTTTCCTGGCCGCGATAAATTCCATTTGCATGCCTGTTTGTTTTCCCGTCTCTCTCCCTCCCTCTCCCTCTCGGGTCAGAGAGCCGCAAGTGGTCACGCATGACGCGAGCAGACTGAAATAACTCAAAAATACAAAATACAGCCAAAACAGGACCTAAACCAGGACTTAACCAGAATTGACATCGGGGGACACAGTAGTTGTTCTCATTCAGGCTCTAGTAGTGACTAAACTAGCGCAGTTAGCTTTTGCGTGTTTGCCGATGCGGAAGGACCGTTTAATAATACAAATAAACTTATGACGCACCTCCGTGAACACATACTGCGGTTATATAAGTCTCTGGAAGATCTCTGGAAAAAGAGACGCTGCAGAGCTGCATTATTGGCAAGAACTTTACACAAAAAGCCGCTTGCATGATGCTAACGGAAGCTAGCGGCTTTTTACTTCCGCCACTTCCGGCGGTGGTCTTTAAAAATTTGTGTACCTGCATCATTATCATTGTATTAGATGAAAATGATCTCAGAACAACAATACTATCGCCTATCGCAATAATTTCTGAGACAATTAATCGTCCAGCAAACTTTGTAATCGTGACAGGCCTAAGGAGCATGCCAAACTTTGACAAAAATTGCTTTACACAGCTCCATGGCTTGTTACGTAGTAATTATGCTAAGTATCGCATATGACATAAATAGGCGTGACAACCCCAGGTTCTTGTGAAATACCAAGATGATCACTATAGACAGACAGAAGCTAGACAAGCAGTTCAAGCGACCGGAGAGACTGTTCTTGATTTTGAGTCATACAGTGTAAATTGCAGTGAGAGTTCACGTTGTGCTGCTCTAATTTGTTGCATTGAATTATTACAGGACGGTTTTCAAACTGAATATAGTTAAGGAAGATATTGGTTCAGGTTTTGCCACTGACAATATTGCAGTATGTGACATGGAAAAGGATTTTTTTATCCACATGTAAATTGCAGTAAACTCTTAACCGAAACACCCAGTGGAAACCTATGCAGACACAAGGAGAACATGCAAACATTGCACACCACTCATAAAGGCCTTATGCCGCCTGGGAGTCTGACTCAAGAGCTTCTCGCTGAAAGATGAGGGCTCTCACCACTCAACCGCAGAGCCACGCAAATATAAACAATTGTAAATGAAAAATAATAATGAAAAAAACACTTCTGGATCACATATTCCATTACCTGGACACTAAAGTGTACCTTATGTTTGAATAGCAGACTCTAAAATAAGCAGACTTCTGATATGACATGATTCTAAACTAATTTTTGAATACAACCAAACAAGTTTTAGGGAAAATTAGAATCTGTCCCTTTATCTAGATGCCATTTATGTCAATATCAATACTGACTTTTGTATTGATTGCTGTGTTGTGGAATCTTCCTACAATTGTGAGGCAGAATTCACCAAGCATTGGATTGTTGGCTGGGTTCAGACCGTCCTGAGACAGGCGAGTTTTATTCTACTGATGATATCTTGTTTCAATAGTAATCTTCAACCCTTAGTGCAGACATTATGAGCATAACATTTGTTTTAAGTAGTAGCTAATTTGTTACGGGACACAGCAAAAGCCCTCAAAACTCCAATCACCATTAACAAAGTAGTGACTAAACTTTAGCAAATGAAGAGATCGATCCAGCTTGGTTTTCTGAAATTCTCAGCCAATTTGCATCGCTTCATTCAGTCGTTTAGAACATGTGTTTATTGTTTGACTAACATCATCAACCAGAAATGCCAGCCTAGACTGTAAATTATGACAGGTGTTCTCTCAAACTCCCCTTTTACTTATCGTGTGCAGTAACGTCTGTGTGATGTTGACAAAGTGGTTTGAATGTGCCTCTTTGTGCTTAGTAAGCTTGGCCAAGATATTGCGTTAATGAACACCCTGAAGCCGGCAAGCTAAGCATTTGTGGAAACCGAAGTGCGCACACATCAGCGCACTGCATCTCCAGCCGCTTGTGGCTTTAATAACAGTAAAAGAGGGCACCACATCAAGGCCCAGTCACAAAGCGGCGGGTTTTAAGAGGCTCAGCTGCAGGAAACACCCCGGAGTGATGACAACAAGTGTTAGCCCCGCGACAACCACAAACTCATAAAGCTACGCCGGCTAACGTCACTGCTACAACCTCAGAAGTGGTGACTGTGCACAAGGCGGAGAGTGCAGACTGAGGAAGAGACACGGTGGGAGCAACGGTGCAAGGTGAAAGTGTGTGCATTCAAAAGAAGATTAGGGGATTGTGCAACAGCAAAACAGGGTGTGCATATGATTATAGTTGAGCCCTAAAATGTGTTGGTCCGAAGACGGAGCGATGTAGTCATAACTGCTGAACTACTGGTATTTTTGGGGTTTTCTGTCAAAGAGAAGAAGAAAATAAAGATCAACTTGTTTTTATTCTAATGAAGCACAAGAATTAAAACATTTTTTGGTGAATTTGTTTTGATACCAATATTACTATCATCTATAGCAACTCGTGTTTCAATATTAGGTGGTGGTACAACAGATTATGAGCCTCAATGAACATTTGTCCTTATTAATGTAATGTGAAATGATGAGCTGTAGAGGGTGGAACAAGTCACTCTTAAGCCCAATATTGGTTATGATTGATGTGTCATTGAATTAAATTTTTTACCTTAATTTATCTTTGTATAGTAAGGGCTCATTAGAGTTTCAGACACTTTTTCAGCGGCCCTGAAGAGGGGGGAAAAGCCTTTTTGAACTGTATTCAAAAGCAAATGGTCCTGGTCTGTTCAGAAAGCAAGAGTTCTGGTCAAACAAACAGAATTTATATATAATTAATGTAATACAATGTTGCCACTTCTAAAAGGGACAGCAAAGCCCAGCCTACATTTTCATTAAAATGTAGGGTCATAGCTAATAAACCATAATAAACTACCATGAGAGTAGACAGAAGCATATTCAAGTAAAAATTTTCATAAAAAGGGGTTTGATAACAATTATTCACAAAAAAAAAATGATACTGATCCAAGTTAACCAGAAAAAACATCCCAGCCTGAATCAAAACCATACCAGCCAGTCTCACGCGAAAACAAATAGTCAAATGTGGAATGTTGCGTTTGCCGTTATTGCAGTATATGATAAACTGAGAAAAATGCATAAAAGAGAATATAACCAAAGTGGACACAGTACAGCGGCCAACTCTTCGCAGTTCACAAAGACAAATGAGCAAGAACAAATTAAATAGGTGAATTTATTGTGTTTGTTTGTTTTGGCATAGGCCATGGATAATATAATGTAGCAACTTCATAAAGCAACGTTTCAATAATTTGTGGTTGTATAGAATATGATGAGGATCAATGCACATTAATCAAGTGTAGTGTAATGTGAAATGATAGATATAAGCTATAGAGGGTTAAATAAGCCACTTCTAAAACGGCCAAGTTTTAGATGTTTGTTCAATGCATTTTTTGCAATCTAAAAAGGTTTTTCTATGATTCCACCTTTGTAAAGAGTTTGTGTCAATGGTATAGAGAAGTTTCATAATTATCTTTTCAGCAATATATTGTTTTCAGAATAATTTGTTGTGACTTATAAGATAATCTATACAGTGGCCACAAACCTTTAGATTTCCAAACAAAATGGCGCAGACCTGTAGCAAATGTGTCATAATTGAGCCGACAATGAGGAAAAATGTTTTACAGCCACAATAATGCAAAATAAAACGTGAGAACCAAGAAGACAAACTGCCAATAGGACTATCCTCAACCGAAGGCGGATCCTAGATTACACTTTCTGTATGAAGAGAGCTGCGCACCTGCGCCAGCGTCCAGAACATCTTAGATTTGGTAATAATCAAAGCCATATTGTGATTTCTCGGGACAAGAGAAAATTGTGATACCATCTTTTGGCATTGTATCATAAGAACAATAGAAAAGATGACAACATACAGTTAAACCAACTCATATTTTCCTGGAATATTCAAAGTAGTAAGGAACTTTTTAGGGAACCGTTTTGAATGACATACACATATTTTATCTGTTTTCCCAGACATGAGGTCAGCATGTACAAATCATATTTGGTTTCTTTGCTCAATTACAAAAACATGATGCTCATATTATTTATGAATTAGCATCGGCTCATTTGGGTAGCCAGTTTCTATAGAGAAATCCAGCTGTAGGGTCTACCCCCAATGAGATGGACACAGTAAATCAGAGAAGGTCAAGATTGCATTTATAGTAAACTTTTTTTTCTCTAATATTCTTTCCTAACCTCAACCACCAGCCCTAAAACACTGTTTTGTACCCCAGTGAGTCGTCACCATCCATGTCAATGACAGTACAATATACAAACACACAGCATTCAACAGTGTATTATCTATATATTTAAAAAGGATGAGACACAATTCATCCTGTTTCATATTTTTTCCATCTTCATCATGAGGAAGTTGCATCTGCCCAAACCTTACGCCTATTTGTCCTGTGCATGTATCCATGGAAATAGTTTTTTGTAGTTTGGCTATATTATTTCCTATAATTACATACAATGAAATCAAGCCGGTGAATTATGCCATTTCCAAGTAACAGAAAGTTGCTTTAGAAATGGTAATTTGAAAAGTGAATATATCTTTTGCAACTTCATGTGTATGTGATAAGAAATCTGTTTTAAGTTCAGTCTTTTCACTTTGTAGAGATGACTCGTGGAGTATGAGCATAAGGCCTGGTACCATTTAAAAACAGGTATGAAAGCAGCAGCCATAAAATGCACTCACTGTTGCTGTGAATAATCAATTTCTGCGTTGGCGTTTCATCTTGAACAGAAACATGGCCTGACTTTTATACATACCACAGGCTTTGGAGGCCTTGGCACACTCTGAACCAAGTAATACCAATGAGGGAAAGAAGGGGAAAAGAAAATAACACCTGTGGAAGAAAACAATACAATGGATTGCCGTTTTCACCATATAACACCTTCCTCAAACCGAGCTAATACAATGCTTTACGCCTGCTCTTCGCCCACACACTGGATACAAAGTAGGCTCTCTGCTCTGCCATCTCCTGGAAACGATGAAGCTCTCCTCCTCCTCCTCCTCCTCCTCCTCCACCACCACCACCACCACCACCACCTCCACCTCCACCTCCACCTCCACCTCCTCCACCACCACCACCACCTCCACCTCCACCTCCACCTCCTCTTCAGGTGAGCACAGACAGGGCTTCTCTGGTCCCTGTGCATTTTGGGAGAACATAGCTGTGGGCCTCCCGCCTGTCTACTGCCAGTGCTCTGCAGCCAGACCCCTCTCAATAAAGTTTAACATAAACCAAACACACACAGGCCGACGCAGTGCCATGTTTCTGCGCACGTAATCTCACGTTCGTTCTCTGATCTCCTAATTAGGCTCGAAACATGCCAAAGCTAAAATGACAGGTAGTGTAACCTAGCTGGGGCAGGGTCCCCTTTCGCCAGCCATGATCCTTTTCCACACAAAAAACACGTAACGTAAAGGAGACAAAAACAAGAATATATGCCCCAGACAATAGAACATATTCACAAAGCCCTGGTGCGTAAGTGAAAAGGTTGTTCTATAGCTCCAAGTGCAACGCTGCAACAAGCGCGATGCTGCAAACACTCCCTGTTCATCCCACAGCCGCGGGGCCTACGCCAACCCTCCGCTCCGTGCGTGAGCTGTGCGGATCCAAACAGCTGATTTCTGTGGAATATGTTAAGTGTTTGCCCAGAGACAATGCGCTGCGCAAGGATGGGACACAGGGAACATAAATCCAAAGGACAGCTGAGGGCTCGGGCTTGTCCATGGCCATGTCGTAAGGTGCCCACATTGACTTAAACATTATGTTGTGTAGAGCTTACCTTCTCTTGCCTTCAGGAGAACCGTGTTGGCCACGATATTTTCAATCTCCATTGTCAGAATGTGAATCTCAAGCAGTCGCGATGCATTTCACTGAGCGGAAAAGACGGTTTTCACATCAAACGCATCGACGCGGACGGCTGCTCCCGCGCTGAGGGGCCGCGGCGCTGGCGCATAGTAGGTCTTCAGTAGTGGTCGTTGTTCATCTCCATTGCAATATGTTTTATCAAAGCCTACGGAGCTGGTACCACGGGCTTGTTAGCATTCACAGCCTGCTGCTGCTGTCTTCCTTCCTGCTTCGGTTCCCTCCTCCTCGCCCCTCCTCTGCACAGCGGACCGAGAGTGGGAGGGATCAGTTTACAACCAGCAGCGGCGCCACACGCACGCACACAAGCACAAACGCGCACGCATAGAATGTATGCACGTACACTCACATGCACACATGCACGCATGCTCGCACAAGCTCATACACACACGGACCACGCACTGACGTCTGCTTTACAACAGATGTATATATTTTAATGAATTCCATATTTGTGCTCAGGTTTATTGTATTTTTGTGCAGACGCTGGGCCTCTCTGCAAACTCAGCTCGTGTTGAGCTATGTCAAGTGAGGATTTACTGAGGTAAACACATATCTCAGTGCTTTCGACTAAAATAATAACGCTTTAGTTTCTTCTGATAGATCAGAATAATATGCCTTTCCGTCTTCCACATAACAAAATGAGCTAAAATAGACCCTTTTGCATTTTGGTCTTGAACCTGTAGCTCGGGATCCCCTTCCCCTTCCCCATCCCCTTCTAACAAGATGATTTGGAAATTATCTGAATGTTTCCATTTTTATGATTCACTACAATAACAATTTATAAAGGTTTGGTTTATGGCTATTTGCCTTCCTTTTATTTCTTTTCTCTCTCTTTTTTTCTCTCTGAGGGAACGTTCGTGGGTGCGAGGATGGAGATCCTTGGTTTACATAGACAATGCTACCACCTTGAGGCTTTAATGAGAACTGCAAAATATTTGAGTTTGGGTCATGGTTGGGATATGTTGGGATTGTATTTACTTTGATTTGGCCAAGACACTCAATTATTATTACAACTATTTTAAATTTCTATTCATAAATCCATCCATATCTTCAGATTTTGGTGCATTTATTTATTATTTGGGGTATCAGTATGATGAGGGCAACAGTGTAATGGGAGTGTAATAAGGTGTGATAGAGAATTTCGGGTGTAATAGATAGTGTAATGGGGTGTATAAAATCTATAGAGTGGACCTGATAATGGAAATAATTTTCATTCACTGCAATTGATTATGTACTGATAATAAAACTGGAGTAATTTTGTACCCACTTACAATCAAGCAGACAATGGCAAAGCTGTCCACTTTAATGTCTTCAGAAGTGTTTGAAAACATCCAGTTTCAATATGCTAATTGTTATCATAACAGATACATTTGGACCCAATTTCTTTACATTTTGTTGGATCAAAATACACACATACACGGACACACACATACATGCACACATACACTTTCTCTGTGTTGAGAGACTCATCACTCTTTTTCTTCCATGTACTTCTTTAGTATAATTTATTTTTCTTCGGAATCATATTTGAATATGTTTTAATGAATCTGATAAGTTCACATTGATACACATGGATTTTGAAGTTCTAGGTTCAGGTAAAAACATTTGTTTTTTTGCTTCCTCTTAGTCTGTAACTATGGAGCGCATCAGTCTATATCATGGGACATTTGTGGTACATTTGGTGGCAGAGATTGCTCAGATGTCCTGAACATTATTTAAGTGAATCGGTCCACTGGTCCATTTTCTGCAGTCAGTGAGATATAGATCCGAGTTTTGTCTGGGTAGTTATTGCAGCACGTCGAGATTGAACAGAAGAGGTCCCAAGATTGACCCCTGTGCCACTCCACAGGTCAGACCCATATGGTCAGAGATAAAGTTTGGGGGTTTTAATCAAACTCGTAGCAATATACTGAAAAGATAACAAGCCTTTTAATTCATTTTTGTATAGCCCTAAATCACAGCAGTAGTTATCATGGAGGACTTTTCAAAATCGCTAATTTGCCAACACAGATCAGAGAATCAAACAGTTCAAACACAGGAAAACGACAGAATTGTAACAAATAACAGCTGTATAACAGAGTGAAAAAACAATCATCACAGTAATATTTTTTAAGTGAAATTTATTATTATTAGTATAGACAAGTACAATGAATATAAATAGTAATGAATGAGCATTTACATTTGTGCTCTGCATGTGCTGAATGGCTTTGGACTAGTGTCACAGTGGTGTAGAGCAGAGGACTTCCGCTACAGGAGACACAGGACTCACGGTGATGGCTTTCTTGTCAGTATTTTCTCTGACTGAAAAGCAGTCGCTGAAGATCAAACTGAATCTGTGAGAAAACATTATTTAATCCAATGTCAGGAAAGACTTCAAGATGAAAAAGATCACAGAAGGAGGCACAGACCTTTGTGGCTTGGTCATCTGCTCAATGGAATCAGGCAGCGGTTCTCGGAAAGTCTCTGGGATTGAGAAAACCAACATCACACTCAGCAAAGACAGAGCAGCCACTACCCCCCAGGGCAGCGAAGGTGATACAGCCGCTTCACGAAACAGAACATGAGACATGAGACAGAACAAAGTGAAGGTTTGAGAGTGAACTAACCAAGGTGCTGGAGGTATGGAGACAAAGCCGCACCCACACGGCCCAACATTCCGCAAGAGGACATGGCTGTGTTCCGGATCACTGTGGGGAACAACTCTCCTGTGTGGATGTACATGCAGCTGATGGCAGCGAGGACTCCAAACTTCCCCAACATCACAAGCACCAGCGTAACGGTTGGCCAAACTGCACACAGACCACACACTGGGGTTGGAGGCTTTAATTTACTAGTTAAAGTAGGAAAAGTAGATAAAGAAACCCTAATCCTTTAAAATGAAGTTGTAAAACATCAGCCTTGCAACATCTGGTTAACTTGAGACGTAAACTTGATGTAATAATAATAGTAATAATACATTTATTTGTGGGGCGACGGTAGCTCAGTTGGTAGAGCCTTGGCCTTCAGGCCTGAAGGTCGTGGGTTCAATTCCCACCTCTACACCTTCTCCACCGACTCCCACTGATGACCGCTGTCGTTGTGTCCTTGGGCAAGACACTTAACCCCACTTTGCCCAAAGCCCCCACTGAAAGATCAAGGCTATGCTCACACTCAGAGAGCAGCCGTCCTCCTGTGGACTCACCACCTGCAGAGGGTCAGTGAGGGGCTGGTGCTATGAGACTTGGGTGGCATCTCTGATTGCCACCCCCCTGTCCCAGAAATGGATTAAAGGGTAGAAAATGGATGGATGGAATGGATGGCATTTATTTGTAATACATTTTATGTTTTTTTTGGCCGCCCACAAGGTTTTTATAATAATCTGATGATAGGAATTTGAACGATACAACAATACTGCTTGCTATAGTGAAAACTGAAGTTGACTAATACAGTGGCTTGTGTGTTGAATAGGCTCACTGTCTGTCGTGAGGCTGGTCAGCAGCAGACCTGTGGAGCCCAGAGCTCCAAACATTATGAAGATTTTTCTGCGAGGACAGCGCGTCGCCGCCAGCCAGCTGCACACGTATGCGGGAAGCTCAATGACTGACACAAGAAAGTAGTTCAAGAACGGGTTTCCAAACAGGCTGGATGTGATGAATGCCATGCCATAGTAGCTGACATGAATAGCAAACCTGCAGAAACAGAAGACAGATGGTCAGGTAACATCATCAGCTACTGTAGCCAAGAAAGATATAACACAAGTCCAATACTTTATATATTTTTGGAAGATCTTTCAGTCTAAAGCACTGTTTTGCAAACATGGCAGTTCAACAAAAAAATAAAATCATGAATCGTAAAAATCATATGTTGAAATGTGTACGTAAAAAGCTTCCAAATCCTGCCCAATCTCAAACCGTACCAACAAATCCAGAGCTTTACAATGATGTTCCGAACATTCCGGGCCTTTAGCAGGTCCAAGAAGGTTCCAGATTCCCCCAACTTATCCGTCCTAAACCTGTTCTCTGCCTGCCAAAAAAATAATGTACAGTAGCTCATAAGCAAATCTTAAAAGCAGCCCAAGAAGTCCAAAGTTATTCATGTAATAAAGAGAGAAGTTTGGGGAGCAGCAAGACCTGTTCCGGGTAGAAGATTCTGATCGGAGCTTGGAGCTGGTTTGGAGAAGCGGCCATTTGGAGGATCCTCTCAGCCTCCTGTTTGTGTCCCTGAGAAAGCAGCCAACGAGGAGACTCTGGAACCAGCCTACACACATGTGAAGTTAATCAAGACAAAGTAAACCTTTAAGGGCTTTTTAATCATATTCCACAGATCATTTGATATTCTGCTCACTGTATGGAGAGATAATATTAAATGGTTAAACAAACATAGATTTTATTTACTTCCCGTTCAATGCTGCAGAACTTCGACTCCTCTAACATTTCATAATGCATGAGTGAATAATGATTAGTATGTGTATAAAATTTGTATCCATGATTGTAACTGCAGAGGGTTGCATATATGTAACAGAAGAAAAGAAATGATGAAGGAACATATTACAAGAAAATGTGATGCTTTATTATCAAACTTCAGTGTTCTTTATATTATCCATCCTTTTTCTTCTGCTCAATCCATTGCCATCAGTCACAGGGGCAGCAGTGGGGGCAGTGGCTCTTCTCATGTGTGATAGAGCTCCTCACCCAATCTCTGAAGGAGCATCCAGCAACTTTTCAGAGGGAACTCATTTTGACCACTTAAATCTGCGATCTTGTACTTTTGGTCAAAGCTCGTGATTATAGGTGAGGGCGGGAATGTAGGGTGGAAATGATTGTGGACTTCAGGAAGACCACAGACCTCCAGACACTTATCAGTGATCTGCATAGTTTAATTTCTATTGTGTGCTCTTGTATAGTTGACATTTTATGAATTATTTTGTAATGAAAAAAGAAATGATTATTATCATTCCGATTCAGAAGGACCAGTAAATTGGGAGGTTTGCCTTTTGATTCAGCTCACTCTTTACCACAACAGTCCAATACTGCTCTGAATGCAGACGCTGCTTCCTCTTCCCCACAACAGTTCAATACAGCTCTGAATACAGACACTGCTCCCCCTTCAAAAAAACAGTCTGATACAGCTCTGAATGCAGACGCTTCTCCCTCTTCACCGCAACAGTCCTATACCACTGCACACGCTGCACTGATCCGTCCGTCAATCTCACTCTTCATCCTTCCCTCACTTGTGAACAAGGCCTGAGATATAAAACCTCTCCACCCCATGCCTCACCCCTTAAATAGTAATTGCACAAAGAACTGACCCTCACAATGACAATACTGTACTGTACTGACCTAAAACTATCGCCTACCCCTCAACTTGACTCATTCTCTTACCACCAGAAAGGCAGGCAGGCAACACTGGAGACCGCCGCTATAGTCACGGCCAGATGTCTCCAGCTTGAGAGCAGATATGCAGCATAAGGTAAAAGCATCATGCCAAAGGTGAAGGAGAAAGGCAATCCAAGTGTAGAGAACAGCACCCGCATCTTCCCAGTCAGCAACTCTGATCCTGTAGAGATAAAAGCAACATACAGTCATTTGTTAATGTAAACAAATGTGTGTGTGTATATGTTGTAAATATTGTATCTATTAGTGGTTAAGGAGGCTACATTTTATTTATGGATTTCCTGTCATGTACTGTACATGCCCCTCCCTGTTCCACTTGGTTTGGGCCTAGTATATGTACCGCAACAATTATCATTATATTATTATATATAACATATTTTCATGATAACAGGGTGTAACATTTTACCTTTATTTAAAATGCTAACTAACTAACTAACTCAGCCCAAGGACTATGGATAAAAATTAGCATTTTTCTGTATGTCTGCTTTGAACAATACATTTATTGCACAATGCAGCTGCCAAATTAATTAATTAATACAATGAGAGACACAATACGTTATTGATTTCACCAAAAATATCATTGACTGTCTATGGTTGTGTTAGTATTAGATAGCAATATGGCCTACGTGCAGGACTCTACAAGGACTCTACAAGGACTCCATGTTATGACTATGATGTGACTGTCTCTTTGTGACACGTATGTCTTTCCATGTGTGACGTGACAATGACTATATAAACTGTGTACTGCCTTTATTCTGTCTGAGAGTATTGGAACTTGAGAGAAACTTAAATAAACTTCCAGAGTTTGGCGCACCACGATCCGTCTCTGTCTGCTATATCCTAACAGATTTGGTGGAGAATGCGCGGCTCGGTTTGTGCCATTCTCTGGATTGTTTTGAGGGAGTTTGCTCTGTTTCTTTTCCTCGGCGTGAGAGATCGGCATGCTGTGTCTGGGAGCGGAGATTCCAGCAGGCTGGAAGAGCTGTTCCTGGATGCTTCTTGTCGCTTCTGTCACTTTTGTTTTTTAAATTGAATATTCCGACGCGGAAAAGAGGTTGGCAGACCTCTCGGACAGTCCTTGGTACCTGTTTGACAAGAATAAGGTAAGCAGACACCTTTTTATATGTAAAGTCTGTATAATTGGATATTAGCTAAATTTTGGTCTGTTTTTGGGGTCTGTCAAACTCTCTAAATTGTATTTGAGAAGAAGTCTCGGGGTTAGAGTCCCTTTGAGAAGAAGTCTCGGGGTTAGAGTCCCTTTGAGAAGAAGTCTCGGGGTTAGAGTCCCTTTGAGGAAACGTTTTCGGGGTTAGAGTCCCTTTGAGAAAAGATAGCGAAGGATTCTAAGTGAAACCATGGTGTAAAATTAAAAGCAATTTTTAAAAAGGGAAACGTGTTAAGGAGGCCTTTTGTCACAAAAAGTTTTGTAATTAACCAATTTCAAGCTTGATAAATGACAAAAGTAAAGAAGCAACAATATTTCAGTGATCACGGTTTAAATTACATACAGAAAAAGGGAGTTTTTTTTTTTTTAGTTTGTTTTTGGAGTGAACGGAGTTCACCGGAGAATGCAGAGTTTTATCTAAAGTTGAGCTATGAGAGCTTTTGTGAGTTATTTACATTTTTTGCCGAGTTATATCTACAGTTAAGCTATGAGAGGGTTGTATCCAACAGTTGTTTTTGTTTTTTAGAAAGAGATTTTGAGTTTAAACTAGTTTGCTACCTCGATAAAATAGAAGCGTAAACGTTAAAGGCACACCGTGTAACTCTTGGCCACTAGGGGCGCTAGACCTGCAACTTTCACGTTTAGCGCCCCTAGTGGCCACAAGCAACTCAGCACTGTCGCAAAAGTCAAACAGTCAGCCGGTGTCTTTTGAGTGTGTATTCAGACAGCATGCACTGGTGTGTGTGTTCAAACTGTAGAGACATGCCTACAGATATTGAGAGACTCTGCTGTGGTCAGCCTCCAGACCGCTGCATTAGTAATCTACCACACATGGACTTCTATATCCTGGATGAGGGAGTTCTGCGTCTAGCTCGTGCTGCGTGGAATGACATCTTTGCAGTCGATGACATCCAGGAACCAGGTGAAGAGCAGCGCTCATACAGACATGCAGCTTACAGCACGATCCCTTTCGCGTTTCCTCTTTTTAGCCTCCTCCGAAGGTTTAAAATTTTTCCTTGCCTCAGCCATGACCAGGAGTCGAGCAGGTGAAAAATGAGTAGCAAAAGCCTTAGCTCCATGAGTATATCAGCGCCTGTAGCCGTAAAGCAAGTGTTTCTTCCAAGTCACGTGACCTGGTGGCAGACGGTCCGTCTGCTCGAAACTTACATGGGCGGTATTTCAAGAGGGCAGCCCCGCTCGGAGCATTGCAAGTGTCAAGCGCTGTATATTGGCCCAAGTATTCATATAAAATAACTCATATGTGTCAACTCTTTAGGTCACAAAGTCCGCGGTGTGCCTTTTGTTACAAGTGTGGAAAGTGATCACTTCTAGACTTGGATGACAAAAGTATAAACTACAAGTTATATTAGCTTTAAAAAGTAATCTTGAAAGTTCTTCTTCTTTCTGTTTTTTGCATTTTTGCTAAAACACTACTGAGTGCACATCTCTATCTTGCTGCCGTTGTCAGGGAACGGCCCCCTCCTTTGCTGCTCTGGCTCTGAATCAAAACAAACCTGCTTTTAGGATTTTGGCTTTTATTAAGTTTTTAAATGTGCGAAATTTGCCATTTGAACATTGTGTTATGACACAGTTAAACGTTTTTAAACACCATTAGTGAATAAGTTTTGAATTAGTATGTTTTTGAAACCCAAATATTAGTGCTAAAGCTGTGCAATTCTTTTTAGACCTAACATATTTCTAGATTCCATTCTTTTAAATCTGCTGCTTATTTCTTAACTTTTTGTGAGTTGTGTTTGTTTTTATGTTTTTATTTTAGTTACAAAAGCCGTTTTTCAAACATTTAAATTAGAATCTGTGTTAAAAGTGATTATTGATTATAGACTTCGTCTAAAAAGAAAGAGGGAATTAGCCTGTAAAAGTATTATTAAGTTGAACTGTACCCAATTCACCCAATTCACATTCAAGTGGTGACGTTTTTGTTTTGACTACACGCCTGACCTTGTTCCTGCTGCTGATGCCACAGCAGAGGAGCCTGGCTCTAAAATGTGCTCCAATTCATACTGACTTAATTTGAAAAATGCTGCAATTATTTTAAATTAGTAGAATATATGCTGAGATAAATGCATAGATAATTAAACACAGTACAAAAGTACACATATTTTAAAGTTTAAAGGTTTTTTTAGATTTGAGTCTTGTTTTTTATTAAGAGAGTTTCTGGTCTTAAAATGTCATCATTAGTAAGATAATAAGTAATCTTTATTTACATAGCGCATGTTGAAAAGCCAAGAGCGCTCCAAAATGGTTTGGTGGACGACTGAGACTCACCCTCAGAGGACCCTGAGGACCTGAGGACCTGGGGACCTGGGGACCTGGGGACCTGAGGACCTGAGGACCTGAGGACCTGAGAGAGAAAAACTGGGGAGTGATGTTTATATTATTGAAATAATGCCATTGATGAGTGCTAAATGAGACAGATACTCATGATTCTTTCTTTTGTTTTTGTTTGTCCCTAGCTTCTGGACATCTGATGATCTATTGGACACAGACATTTGCAGAACAAGAACCAGCCAATGAAAATCGTCTATTGCCGATGCTATTGCTACAACCAGAACCTGTGACCAAATGCAATATACATGTTAAGTATTCAGACATCTGACAGACAAAACTTTGACTTTTTAGTCTGGTAGACTGAGCAACTGTTAAAATGTTTGAAAATGATAAAGTATGAGTATTGTAGTGTTTTAGTAGATGTTAAATAGTAGTAAAAAAGTAGAATTGTCCTTCCTTTGTTGTTCATAAACACATTTCCACATAAGAGTTAAAATAGTACCATACAATGTTATCCTTCTGATAGAGCAGCTAGAATATTAGAATCAGAATAATGTTACAGCCATTAAAAGTGACAGAAGTCACAAACTAGAAATATGCCTCGACTCAAACTGCAGCCAAACTTTAGAGTCACAGTAGAGTAAAAATATAGAAATAGATAAAAGCATCAACCATAAAATAGAGATTATTTGTAGCCAGTGCTAATATCAAATGGTAAAGGGACCATTTCACAAACATTTACTTCAGAAGTAAATAAAGTTAATTACAGTTTATGTACAGTTTTATTAGATACTTGCCAAATTCACTTGTGTTCAAACATCTGTGAATGTTGACAATGCAAAAAGTTCATGAGTGTAGCCTAGATTAATGCCTAGATCAATGAGATAGATTAGAACCAACAGAGATTCAAAAGCATCTTTGAGAAGTTAAAAGTTGTTGATTTATCAGCACAGATTAGAGAATCAAACACCATTGTAGAATAACTGACCCCAACCCCAAACCTGCTAAAATAGATTAGCTCTTGTAAGGATAATACTAATTTGATTATTGATGTACATTCATCCCAAACTGCCTGAGAGGAGGAAGTGACAGCACTTCCTGGTTCAACAAATGTATTTGGAAAACTGACCGCCATAATAATGTTTATATTAACCATTTGCCTTACTGTGTTCACAGTTTTATTCCTGAGAATGAGAATAGACATAGAGCAAAATCCCACTAACAATAAGCCACTGATAATGAGAGTGTAATACCACAGAGAGATTTATTAGATTAAAATGTATGTTTAAGAATATGGCTCAATAAAAGTAAATATGCAAACATATTTGTAAATAGATTAGAAAGATTGATAAGTGAAGTGTAGTGTAAACAATCAGTATTAGAATAAAAGTATAGAGTAAGAAAAGTGAAATTAGCTTCTAATTTGAGACTCAGCTCGTTTTTGTCTGTGTTTTGACTGAATCTGCTGAGTTCTTGTGTGTCCAATAGTGTTTGTTTGTTTTTATTTTTGATTTGTTGTTGTTGTTTTTTGTTTGTTTATTTACTTTATTTATATTTTTTCCCAGGATAGAGGATAAAATCCACTGATATTGATTTTGATGATTATGAGTTTAATGCATACATTTTCTTTGTTTTTTAATAATTTTTAAAGTTTTTTTTTTATTTTTTATTTTATTTTTCCACTTTATTGATTGATCAATTTGAGTGATCACATGTGATTATGTGATCAAAGGGGAGGGTATTAGTATTAGATAGCAATATGGCCTACGTGCAGGACTGTACAAGGACTGTACAAGGACTCCATGTTATGACTATGATGTGACTGTCTCTTTGTGACACGTATGTCTTTCCATGTGTGACGTGACAATGACTATATAAACTGTGTACTGCCTTTATTCTGTCTGAGAGAAAGAAACAAAGTAAACCATTGGAACTTGAGAGAAACTTAAATAAACTTCCAGAGTTTGGCACACCACGATCCGTCTCTGTCTGCTAAATCCTGACAGATTGTTAACTTCCTTATTAATGAATAAATAAGTTAGATTTACCAAGTACAAAGACAATGATGTAGGTGGTCGCTTGTCCACAGCCGACCATGAAGAAGAGGGCAGTAAAAACAGGCCATGATGGAGCAAATGTCAAACCCCAGCTGAAGACACTCAGCAGCAGCAGAGAGGCGAACAGCACAGGCTTCCGTCCCACTCTGCCGTCAGGATCAATATTTCAGTAAACGTGTTTGAACTTTGAGTCACAGCAGTCTTACCTGTCGGCGAGCTGGCCACTCACAAAGCATCCACACATTCCTCCAAAGAAGAAAACCATAGAGGACAAGTCCCGCTTCCACTGGTCTCCACACACCAGAGCAAACTAGAGCAGACACAGGCTCATCTGGGCCATATTCAGAAAATGTGAAAATACTGTAAATATGTTTTTTGAAGGAGAATAGTACTTCTGTCACCACTGTGGAGGTGAAGTATTGTTGACTGAAGTTCCATCCGTGACACCCCAGCGACGGCAGCTCGGAGGTCGTGGTGTTGTCCGCTGGATGGAGGCCGTGAGCAGAAGCGTTCTCAACATGGCCCAGAGAGGAACCACGGCAGACCCTCCGTCCCACTTGCAACAGTGCTCCGTGCTCAGACTTTATAGGAGTAAAAACCATACATATTTATTAAACATTTAAATGAAACAAAGCTGAAGTGAAACATTATTGAGGTAGAATGTTTTGATATTTCCTTTTTTAATTTTTATTTTGTTTGGTTTGAAGAGATATTACATTCACTGACTGTGTTACAACCAAAAATGATTGGCTGAAGCAACTTTCTTATGTAAGCCCATCCTGTCACATAAAGGTAATTAACTATGTAAAAAATAAAATATTATAAATATTATATTACTGATTTCAATTTTTTTTTTTTCACTTTATTTTCTGTTATTATTATTTATTTATTTTTTAAGGCAATGTATATGAATTCATTATGTAAATTCAAATGTTGATAATGTATTAATGAATACATTATACATAAATTAGCTGATTCAACAAACTACAGTGCTTGTGAGAGAAATAACAGAAATAGATGGTTGTGTTATTTGTGGTGTGTCATAATACACAGCAAGTTTTCAACTAAGTAATTCATTCATTGAGAATCAGAACTGCCCGTTCTGTTCTCTGTGATTTGGTTACACTTCCAGGCAGGGCCTTACTGAGTAGAATTGGCAAGTTCTGCGTAGGCTTCCTCTAGGTACTCCGGTTTCCCCTACCACTAAAAACATGCAATAGGTGAAGATTGAATGAGTGTGTGTTTGTGAATGTGAGTGTGACTGTGGACTACAGATGGAAATTAGCTACGAAAAGTAACAATCTGGGGCCGTATTCCTAAAGATTCTAAGAGTCCTCTCAGAGAGCTCCTATCTTACCCTAAAAACTCCTAGCTAGGAGTCTTAGCTTAAAAGTTATTCCAGAACACTCTTAGAGAACTTTGAGCAAGGAATTGACAACAACTTTTATCTTAGTGAGGAGGCGTGGCCGACCCCGTTGCTAGGTATGAGTCATCATTTCAGACGCTGTGATTGGTTGATCTTAAAAGTTAGTAAAAACATATTTTTGATGATAATGGGCAAAATAAGGGCCCTAAAATGGACAAACTCAATCATGGAATCTAATCTTAGGAATACTGTGTTATTGTAAATAATAACCAAACGCTATAAAGTCAGATATATCAATGGTGCATATACTGTGAATAGTAAAGTCAATGAGCTTGTCAGCACCAATTTCTAACAAATACATAGTACGTACATGAGCACTTATAATTTTATATTATATATATATATATTTAATATATATATATTTATGTATATATACATACAATTTAAATATTACTCTATATATAATATACATGAAAAAGAAAATTATTATAATAAATATTATATGGATAAATGATGATAGTCATAACGTTAGGATTAGTAAAGGCTGTGATACTGACAGACGTATAAGGCATTAAGGAAACAATATTAATACAAACATATTATACATACAATGTACAAATCAAGTACAAGGAGTTTAAAAGTCTTAACCTCTCTCACTCCTTTTGAGCTGGATTGTTGTTAATAAAATAAAACTGTGTATTTGTACTTCTATTCTGTTGTTGTTTTGTTTGTTTTTGTCCTTTTTTCTTGTTTGCCATGGCTCAAAATAAAGTATTCATTCATTCGTACTGAATGTGTGAAAATGTAGGCCCACTTGTACAGTATTAACGCAATAATAGTTACATTTACTTTCTTTTTATTATTACCATGCTGGTTATTTTCTCTCTTTCAACTTTCACCATTTCTACCTACTTTTGTGTAACAAGGGTAAAATGGATGAGTTGTTATTGCTGACCAGCCTATAAGAAGCTGGTCACATGATTGACTTTTAAATATACAGAAGCATAATTCCTGCTCGACTCAATCTGTTGCGTTTCACTGATTCACTGTCATCCAGTGTATAGAATATTTCTCCTGTCTCCACCGTCCACCATTTTGAGCTCTTAGGGAACTTTTAAGTCGCTAAAAGTCCACCTCTCAACTCTTAAGGGATCTCCCTTAGGAGCACTCTTAAGAGCTAGGATTCTTTAGGAATAGCTTTTATCTTAACTAGGAGCTACTCGTCACTTTTAGGGGAAATTCTAAGAGTTGGTCAAGATTCTAGAAAATTCTTAGAATTTGGCCACTAGGAGCAACTTTTAGCACTAAGAATCTTTAGGAATACGGCCCCTGGTTTATTCACAGCTCCTATTGTGTCCTGTCCAAAGAAACCAAAAACTACAAATAAATAAAAGTGTGTATTACCTGAGCCGGGCTGATGGCTTCAATCCACTCCTGGCTGAGGTTGGTGCTTGGTGATAGGTCACAGTGATGTGCTGGTGTGGCCAATAAAAATATGACAGAAAAAACTGTATATCCTGAAGGTAATACACACATACACAGCACAAATAGCTGTTTTCTCTGAAACAAGCTCCAATTTTCTAATAATCCAACTCTCTCGTCGTAATTCATCCTCCTAACACACAGACAGTAGCTGATAGTAGTTTTTCCCCGAATTTTAGAAGTACTTAAACTGACAATTCCTCCTTTTACACTCCCACCTCAGCTCTTCATAGATACTCTGTGTTTACTTCTATCAAAACATGCAGAGATACTTGTTATTGTAACTTCTTGAACATGAGCCTTTCTTCCCAGTTGAAATAGAAGGTCAGATTCGAGTGTTATCAGCCCCAAACGATTGATCAATGCAACACTTCCAAGATCTTGGTGAACTTATGTCATCCAGAGTAGTAACATTTATACACATTTATCTCAATGACGATAACAGAATATCACCTTGTTCCATGCAAGTGGGATGCTGACGGTAAACGTATTATCAGTGTAACTCAGAGGTTCACTCACGGTTATGCCAGGACAAAATCTGACTTTAGTACTCTATCTATACGGGAATATCCTTCATGAAGGAACACCTCCTAATTTCTAATTCCCATTTTTTGTGCAATGTGTTTTCAAAGACACCCTCCTGTAATGTTTTATAGATGTGAGATATAATTTTTGAAGTAATTTCCCTTTGATTACAGCTGATAAGAAGAATTTCATATCCGAGAATGGACCTTGCATCTTAAATATAGTTCATACTTATGTCTCAGTGGTAAATATTTATAAAGACTTGACTTGGTAGGAGTTAGGAGATTTTGTTTTATTCTAATTAGTTTACTATTGTTCACTATCTGATGTGTGCTCTCATTCCGTTGCTTACGTGTGTGGATGCAACATTACAGGTCCCCAATTATGAATCTTTCAGCTTAATTTATCATTTTGTTGAAGCTGCTGAAAAGACAATATAGTCTCCCATTTTCAAACATTTAACTCAACATGATCCACCCTTTTCATCTAAGTTATTTCATTTTGGTGATGGGAGGGAAATCAGGATTGCGGTGTATAAGAGAAAAATGAAAGAAAAAAAACGTCATGGACAAAGATGACATCCAACCACGATCTCAATGCAGACTTTTGGTGGAGTCTTTGACATTGTAACAACAAACAGATGAAGTGAGAAAAGTCAAAAAATACTCTTTGCAGACACAAATCTCAGCAAAAAGGGTGAAATATTGAGTAAAGCCTCTATAGTGGAGCGCCCGTTATTATTATAGACCCTTATTATAATAGATCCATGTTATAGACCCATAAATATTTCTCACACTGACTAAACAGAGCCGTATGACCTGCTTCCTGGGTTTTCACGTGACCAAGTGCTCACCAGTGCGTCTCGGGCGAAGCTTCAGTTCAAAGCGAAAGGAAATAGCGCTTCTATAGACTCTGCGAGAGCAACATTCATGCAAAGTTCCAAAATATGTTTTCTATCGGAGAGAAAGTGGAGTTTCTTTTGGTTAATCCATTCTCCACACCCGTTGGGCAGAGAATCGGTGAGTAATAAAACAGCCGCGTATTCACGTTAGAATACTAGAATATGATTGGGCAGCACGCATCTTATGTAGTCACTGAATTTGGCTCGCTTCATGTAAATATTCCACATTTGATAAACGCGTAAAAACCTCACTTTTTATTTTATTTTGTCTTAACTTAAAGTCTCAAGAAGTCTCTGCCCAATGACGTGAGGAAGGCGGGCTTTAAATGTTTTGATCTTAAGCTTGATTTGTGTCTGGATCATATAAGACAAGTATACTAGGCCACATAATGTCTTATTAAAACCAGTATGTCCGTGATTATAACAAGTATAATGCAGCACACTCTCACTTCCTTTGCCATGCACAACTTCTTGTGAAACTAGACCCCAAACACGACACATTTTGCATATAGGTATAATGAGAGCAAACAATAAACTTCCTGATTTTGTCGTGATAATGAGACCTAAAGAGTTGTTAACGGTGAGAGCAGACTACACTGAGGGCTGGTCTCATCCTCTCATTCACAAAGCCGTGTCAAAGAATGGAGCTTCAAGACTTTTTTCTGAGGTCGACCAGCTGACAGTCACATGAAGGAGAGAGAGAGAGAGAGAGGGGGGAGGGGGGGGAGTGATGGAGGGCGAAAGTGAGGGGAGAAGGCGAAAGTGGGGGCGGTTCGGGAGGAGAGTGGTGGGGCACGGGTGGGAAGAAAGGTTTCAGTGACTAATTAGGTATGTGCAACAAAACAAAAACAATTTAGACATACATATTGATTTTTAAAAATAACCAATGACTCCCTCCTGTAATATCTTATAGACAAGAAGCATTTCATGTGAGGGTGGAGCTTGCAGGTGATCTAAAATATTGTTCTTGCTTATGTCTCAGTTGTAAATATTTATTAAGTCTTGACTTGGTAAGTTATAATTTTGTTGAAGCTGCTGAAAAGACCCTAGTATCCCATTTTCAAACCATTCCCTCAAGATAATCAGCCCTTTTTCAACTCAGGTATTTAAATTTTTTGCAGGAGGGAACTTAGGATTGTGATGTATATCTATATCTAAATTATTTATTCACATATGATTGTTTGTTTTTATTTCAATTTGTTTCAGTTCAGTTTTTTTTTAAATAAATATACAATAAGTAAGTAATTAATCTTTATTTATATAGTGCCTTTCCCAGACCAGAGTCACAAAGCCTTGGGGTCGCCATACAGGAGGCGCATGCCAGACCTATTGAACATGTTAGAGGTAGAAGAAACCGGAGCACCCGGAGGAAACCTATGCAGCCACTGGGAGAGAATGCAAACCAAACAGAAAGTCCCAATCCGGACGTGGAATCAAACACAGGGCCGTGTAATGTTCAGACCTATCCCCGTTAAAAATTATACAGATTGTGCTGAATATTTCAACATTTAATTCATAGGTTAGATGGATATGAATGCAGGGAGGAGGAGAAAAGGGAGAGAACGAGTAAGTTGAGAAAGACTAAAGTGTGGGGGATGTTGAAGCAAAGGAGATTTAGAGACTTATCAAGGAACCCTGGGAGGGTGGAGCGCCGGAGAAAAGATTAGATTGCTTAATAGTTATGACTGAAAAAACAATAGTTTGGGAAAGTTCTCAACAGTTTTTAGAGTAACACGAGCAACTCTATCCAAAACAACTGCAAAAAGTAAAGAATTTGAATGAGGGTATTGATCTAAAGATTGGTTTTATGCTCTCAAGAATGTCCCTGAAAGTATTAGTTCAGGATATTGATTATGATCTGTTTTTTATCACCAGATTTAAAATGGGCCACAGAAACCACAAATGACAAATGAAGAAGAGAAACTAACATGACAAGAGATTCAGCATGTGTCATATAATGTGTCTGATGAAATTAGAAAATACAAATGCAATCAGTTGTTGCTATAGATACCGGAATGTGAATATTTTTTGTTAGAACATAAATATTTTTGGATGAATGAATGAATGAATAATTATTTTCAATTCAATTATTTTCTTTTCAATCCTGTATTTCAGAGAGAGCTACCAGCGGCTTGTCGCGCTCAGAAGATTGGGGTCTGATCATGGAAATATGTGACATCATCAACGAGACTGAAGATGGGTAAGCTGTTGTTAATTTCTATGTTTATTTTCCCTGTTTTGATCAATCTCTTCCTTTGTGGCTTCTGCGTAGAGAAATGGTCAACTTCCTGGTTTGTTAGAATGTTGCATACTCCACATACTATAACGGTCTGACGTGCATACATTTTAACACGTGTGGATCTTTCTTTATATTTTTCTAATTTACGTTAATCACAATAAGCATTTGATTTGATATGGTACTGTGGCATATCGGCAACACAGATTTTTACAGACATTACAATACAAGCCTTTTTCTCATTCCCTGTTATAATAATGTCCTTTTTTATTCCTTTGTTTTGACTTCAGCCATAAAAACAGAAGCAGAACAGAACTATCATTGATTATAAGTGAAAACAATATTAGCAATATTTTCAATTATAATATTTTAATAAGTAATTTATATTTGCCAGGCCCAAAGATGCTGCCAAAGCTATAAAAAAAAGGATGGTTGGGAATAAGCATTTTGGAGAGATCATGTCAGCTCTTACAGTAAGTCCTGTTCACATATAATACACATAAATAGATGTAATTATTGACCGCTTTTATCCTTTTATCCTTTTTTCAGGTTCTTGAGGCTTGTGTCAAAAACTGTGGGCACCGTTTCCACGTTCTGGTCACATCGCAGGACTTTGTAGAAGGAGTTTTAGTCCGGTGCATTTTACCAAAATATAACGCCCCAACGGCTCTCCACGACAGAGTGCTCAGTCTTATCCAGGTGACAACATTTGGCTTTAAAATCAAGCTGCAATTTAGATACTAGCTGTGGTTCGTAACTGAAACCACAAACAATGGAACTACAGTGTGTTATGAAATACTTATAACTGGTTCCTCACTCTCAAAAGTTTGATGTTTTTTCATGTAATTTTTGCTCTCACATCTTCAGAGACGCTTTTTCTGATTTGTTCACAACATTTTTTAGTCTACAAGACTCTTTCTGTTGTGACAAAACATATTATTTAGGGAGAAAAAATATCACCTTTTGAGTCACTATATCTTCTTGAAGCTTGGAACTGAAATCTACCTCTTTGGGGCATCTCACTTGATTTTAGGCACTTTAACCATCAAACTCCATGTCAACACTTTGGTAAAGTCCTATGATAAAACAAAAAACTAAGGGTAATAACCAAAAACATGAAAAAACACGAAAAATTCGCCTTGGTTTCTCTTTTGACCATTTCCTGAATTACCCAGTTGCCCAGACACATGTTGCCTCTTTAATTACTGTCAAATATAAACATATATTTTAGTAAGTACAGTAGTTGACCATAAGTTAACTATTTATTTCACTATTGTTTTATTAAGCTAAAAAAGGTTGAAATATGTGAAATGATCTTGTAAAAAAGTGTTAACATCTGTTTGATTATTCGTTGCTGTTGTAAATGCATGTTTATTGTCCTCAGTCTTGGGCAGATGCATTTCGGAGCGCCCCTTCTCTGTCTGGAGTGGTTCATGTGTATGACGATCTGCGGAAGCGAGGCCTGGAGTTCCCCATGACTGACCTGGACGCACTCTCCCCCATCCACACTCCCACCCGGGTGAGTAACAAGCCTCCAGGCGCATATGGTGTCTGCCACAATAATGTCCATGATAATGATATTCTTAACACTCACACACACTTCATAGATCACGCAGGGTTTAAGTAGTATTGAAATATTGTCAGTTTCCAAAACAGGAACAGACTCAGGCCGTGGTGTGAAATCTCATAACTCTTTCCCAGAACACACACATCTATATAACTGAGTATAAATAGATCTGCATTCTTTTGCATGGTCTCTTAATAGAAACACAAGATATATTTGTGTGTGATATCAAGAAGTGAAAGGGAAATAATATCTCTTAACATTTATGCAATCAATCTTCAGAGCATCCCAGAAAATGGCACCCATGACATGACCCCAGCCGCAAGTCGACAAATGGAGACACAACCTCAAGAATCTCCTCCCAGTCTGAGCGCTTCACCCCCAGTTCAAAACAACGATGGACCAGCCTCCCTCTCTCCAGACCAGGTGATCAGTTATGCTACTTAAATTTGACACAAAGCAAGTTATATGATCTTGTAGAGGAAATTATGGTGTAGTAATTGCAGTCGTGTTTAACATAATCTTGTAAATTTTCACTCCACATTTTCCTATAGCGCTATAAAACAATTATAGATGATGTGATTGTTGTTAAAGACATTTTTCTTTGGATGTAGGAGCAGAGGCTTCGGAGAGAATTGTCACTGGTGAAGGGAAACCTCACTGTCATGTCGGAAATGTTGAACGAGATGATCCCAGGACAGAGCAAGACCGATGATACAGAACTACTGCAGGTGACCAGTTCTTGGCAATTTCAACGGTTTCGTTAAGTCCTCTGAGAAAAGTACTGTTGTGATTTAGGGCTATACAAGAATACATTGAATTGAATTGAATTGAGTTGAAATGAATAGATAACAATACAAGATTCTATAGATATGATTTGCTTTTATGTTATCATTTTGACTTTAAACATTCAAGCTTATGATGTCTTATGATGTAGTTGAATAGTTATTACCTTAACATTGGCCTAGTTAAGTACACTTGCTGACTTTCTGACTTCTTTGTTGTTCCTGTGTGAGCAGCAGTTGTATTCCGTGTGTAAGAAGATGCAGAACCGCGTGGTGGAGCTTATCCCTCAGCTCGTGGACGAAGGATTTGTGGATGAATTATTGGTTGTCAATGACGACCTCAACAATGTATTTATACGCTACGAAAGGTATGCATGAAATCCATGTTTGAACAAATCTAAAAGCCACTATCCAATTTTTTTTACTAGCAGGATTTGAGTTTATTCATTCAACTCTTGTTTCAGATTTGACAGGCTTAACAAAGCAAAGTCCAGCAACAATCAACAGGTATGTTTTGTCACAGTATTGTATTCTTCTCCTGTTTTATTGAGTGATTATAAAATGATGGCGAACAAAACCATGGTAAATTAATGGATGAAAGTAAATTTGTGGTAATTTGGCTTCAAATGAACGTACCACAAAATGTTTTAGTGTAAAAGTCCAGCTTCAATTCAGGATTCAAGAATTTATTTGCCATTTGCAGTAAAACCACATTGGAAAAACTGTGCAAGACTACCCCAGCATGCACCAGACGATAATACACACCAGGGCTCCTGCCACGGTGCCACTGTGAGTTGTTGTTGTTGTTTCTTGTTGAAATAAATGTAAACAAAAATCACAACAACAACATAAAAGTAAATATGTAAAGTATTCAAAATTATAACATTTGTAAGTATTGCTTATTCATATTGTCCCCCGAGCAGTTTCCTCCTCAAGTCTATAACATAACAGCCTATACATAAACTATTGATAATAAAACTATTCAAACACTTATTGTATACACAGTCATACGGTTATTACAATACATACATTGCTATATAATACTAGCCCTGTGTTTTAAGTCTTCAAAGGTGTATATTCTCTGTAAGTTTGTACAATAGTTGCATATATTTAACCAAAAATGTCATTATTCTTCGCCTGTACCAAGCTACACCTTTATCCCTTAGATAATTATAGTGTTTCTTTCAGAGTTGTGTCAGTGGTCCGAGCCTCATAGACCTCAGTCCTGAGCTTTCAAGTCCTAGTCAACCTGCAGTCATCACCACAACCAGCCAAACATCCGTCACCACGGCAACCAACAGTGAGTCACTTACAGCATACGGTCAAACTGGAGTAAACAGGAGTGAAAAGGAGACGTGCTGTGACAGGGGTATTATTGGTCGCACACAAATGGATTAAAACCTCTTTCATGAGACACAGTTGGTCAGGGATCTGTCTTTTTACTTTGGGAAAATATTATGTCACCAAGGTTAAGAGGGGAAGTATAGAAAAGCCTCGTCCACACTGTCTCACATCCTCTCAAATTAAATATTATTCAAAGTTGGAGTCCTGAACTTTGAAACCACAAAAACATGAAGTTCACACGTGCATGCAATTCTGGCCTCGGTCACATCTTTACATATGCTTTTACAGTGCCTTGCCTTGCCATTAAGAGATTATTTATTCATCCCACAGTAGGGAAATTTCAGTGTTGCATCACAATGTACAGGACAGTAGGTATGAGGAGCACACAGCACAAGATACATGACCAATTACTATACTAAATAAAATAAAACAAAATCCCTAACTCTAGCATCAAAGAAATAAGTATATAATCTGTATCTTTAACATAATAAAGAAGTATTTAAGAACCAGCCCTCACTGAGCCAATCAGATTTCAGTTTGTAAAAGATTTTTTCTGGACTCCATTGAGAGTGGGAGCCTTTTCCACTTGTACCTGCCGCACTTAAACTTGTCCTTGACCCAGATATGGAGTTCTTCCTCTCACCAGTTTAGATTCAAAACTTTAATACTCAGGTTTAAATTTGTTATAGTAAGATATGTGTGTTTTCCTGTTTCTGTTTTCTCCCATAGTTGACACATGTGATGGGAAATCTAATTACATATGTGTTGTCTGTGTTGAATGTGCTATACAAATAAAACGTCTTCTTCTTCAGATGTTGAGGAGGAGGAGTTTGACATGTTTGCCCAGACCAGAGGCAGCTCCCTGGCCGAGCAGAGGAAAAGGTGAATGAGATTTAATGAACGTACAACTTGTATGTTTTCCTTTTGGCAGCAGAAAATCCAATTGTATGTAAAATGCTACAATGACACAACATCAGTACAACATTGTTTCTAAAAAAAAAAAAATCGGACCTCAGTTTTTTTTTTTAGATCCATCCACACTAATATCAGGATTATCTGGCAACATGTAACTTTGCTCAGTTCCTCTAAATGCTCTGTATCCGCAAAAAAAGTAATCCCCAAGCATAATATTTCCTATTTGAGATGTAAGACTTATTTGACATGTAAGACTTATTTCTTTCTTTCTTGGTTCATATAGATTTTTTTGTCTCTGAATCATTTTACTTACTGACAGAGAATCAGATCAGATTTCCTTTACCAACACAAAAAATAAAAAACATCTCCTGTGTGTCTAGCGTGAAGTATGAAGACCCGAGAGCTGTGGAGGGTTTGGCAGGAGCTCTGGACACAAGGCTGCAGGTCACCGCAGGAGTAAGTCTTCATTGACCGTACTTGGAATAAACTAAAAAAAAAACGTTCTAATGAATCCTACTATTAACTTCTTAGATGCCTGTAGAAAAGAACTCAGTACAAAAAGACATTGATCATTGGTTATCTTGCAGTGTTGGGCACGTTACTTTGAAAAAGTAATTAGTTATAGTTACTAGTTACTTCTCCCAAAAAGTAACTGAGTTACTAACGGAGTTACTCCACTATAAAAGTAACTAGTTACCAGTAAAAGTAACTATTGCGTTACTTTTTCGTTTTGTTCTGGAACATAATGTGCACCCGACGTGCACATTTTTACCTTTAACAGTGCCAATATTTCCATCTAGAAAAGGCTGTTTTGCTGCTGAAGTCCTGTTCACTCTTCATCTCTCTCTGTGCTGTAAGCACTAAACACCGGTGACGAGCGGTGAGGCTGGTGAAGCACTGACTTCAGTCCAATCAGATGAACATATACATCATATAAATCAAGTGGATAATTTGTTTGGCTACAGCAAAATATGTTTTATGGCCGCATTGTTTGTTCATACAAAACGCAAAACTATGAGTTATGGGTCTTACCTTATAGCTATACCTTATAAATGACCTGCACAGTCCACTTCGGTTCAGACCAGTTCCTTGTTTAAATCCAGTGAATGGTTTGAGCGTAGATATGTAATCCTCCATTTGGAAATGAGTCCAATGAGTTTTAAAAAGTAAAACAAAACGCGTGTGTCCTCCGTAAACTCCTCTGTTTTGCTGCAGCCGGCTGCATCCAATTTCTAAAATCAACCGTCTTACACTTGACCTCTCTTTATTATCATTCCTATAGTAATTGAAAAATTACCCTATGTGCATTTTAGATTATGTAAAAATGTGTTATATGTATGTTAGCCAAACCTGTTGCTGTCCTTAGCAGATAAACCAGGAAGAGCAAGGAGCTTATCGATGGAATTGTATGCAGTCGACTTCTGCGCTCACATGAGCTCCTCTGTGGCTGACCTCACGGTGATACAAGCCGTGGTTGAGCGCGATTAAGACCCATATTTGTTTCAAAAACACAATTTATGAGCCATCCTCTCAACTGTAGACATGTAGATTGTAAAGGAAATATGATTTACATCAGCCAATAATTGCTGAGAGGTTTTCTCATCCTCCCTTCTCTCATGACAACACGTTCATTGTGCGTCTTGAGTAACGCGCAGTAACGGGATGTCGGAAATGATAACGGCGTTATAGTTACTGTCAAAGTAATAAGTTAGATTACTCGTTACTGAAAAAAGTAACGGCGTTAGTAACGCCGTTACTAGTAACGCCGTTATTCCCATCACTGTTATCTTGTGATATGGTATGTCCCTTCATTGTCGCTTTTAAGAAATATTTACTGTAACCTGATTATTAACTTGTGTTTTCTGTTTTTCTGAAGCAGGAGAGTCAGTCAGCTGTGAGTGAAGGCGTGTCCAGTCAAGGTATGTAGCTCTACTGTTTGTGAAATCCTTTGCCCATTTATTTATGTACTGTATTTATGCCGGTTTATTTTTTCAGAGTTTGATCAGTTTTTGGCGGAGAGGGCTCGGGAAGGCGACCACGGCAGCAGACCGACCCGGAGTCCGCACCCCAGACCTCAGCAACAGTCGTCAGAGCAACGAGACAGAGCACATGACCATCTATTTTCTCTTTAAACAAATATTATTGCACCGTAAAGCAGTATTGTTGGTTCTGAGACTGAAATATTTTGTAAATGGTGAATTATAGTTATAAACTGTGCCTTTTCCTGATAAAGTTATTGTTATTATTATTATTATTATTATCTTTATGTTCACAAAGAAAACAAAATACACAATGGAACCTAACATTATTTATTTTATTTAGAAGATTTAGAGATCTCTTATTCGCTCCACAGTGGGGAAATGTCAGTGTTGCACCACAAGTTACAGAACAGTATGAATGAGGAGCACTCAAAACAAGATTAGTGAGTATTGAGTATTGCAAAGTTATATTTAAAAAAAACTATTTAAAATCTCAATCTTTAGCTTAATTATAAAATATATATCAGTATAAATCTGTAGTACACTCTAGACGGTTATCTAAATAAACTTAATATTGAACTGTATATATAATTGAAAATGTGTGACTTGTGACTTTCATGAAGTTTGGAATTTTACAAAAATCTGTTGATGAATAGAATCCTACTTCATTCTTTCAGTACATGTATTTATGCTTGTTGTTTCCATGGATACGATTTATGTATTTATTACAACTATTGCTACGAGATGTTTACATAATTACAACTCAAATAGATGTGCTGTTGTGCCACCTGAACATTCAAATTTGTGAAGAATAAATTAATTTTGTGTGTCTGAGTTGGTGTTTCACCCTTGTTCTCTATGGATGATGAATTTAAACAGACAATATGGATCTGCAGTATCTCAATCCATGTAATGAATGTGATCTACTTTGCCTGATCCGGAAACGTTACTGGGCATTTAATTCAAAGGAAACATAATAACTGCAACCCATTTAGTTCAGGTGCACTAGTCTTACTTCATATTATCATTTTTTAAGGCATAACTTTTAATAACGTGTTGGAAATAGTTTAATCATATTTAACAATATTGTAGATAATAGTGAACAATTTAATTATATTTATCAGTCCAGTCTCTGCACTGGCTTCCTGTGGCTCAGAGAATAGACTTTAAAGCAGCTCTGCTTGTGTACAAATCTCTCCATGGCCTGTGACATGTTAGTGCCATATGAATCAGCTCTTACTCTGAGGAGCACAGGGATTGGCCTCCTGCTGGTACCCAGAGTGAGAACTAACTTTTCTTCCTCAAAATGTGAGACAAGCTTCTTCACTGACAATGTGTAAATTCAGGATCAAAACAGTTCTGTTTAGCTGTGCATACAACTGAAGGATTTTACTTTTGCATTGTGTATGAATTGTGCAATAAAAATAAACTTGCCTTGAATTGCCTATTGATTATAGCTATGTTGTATTTTATTCATATAATATGTTAAAATGTTATATTAATTATATTTTTACTGTACACATTTTATGTAAACTAGAGGGCGATGTTTCACCTCAGAACTGTCTACAACAGCTGTTTGTGACCAGCATGACTGTATGTATAGGTTGTAACACGCCGGTATCGTTTGGGAACGTTTTACATAGCATATATATATTTTTTGATATATATTATTATTTAACATATTCATTTATTTTTTCAAACGTGATTTACACTTTTATACCTAGTGCCAGTTTATGGGCTGGAAACCGCTTTCAGATCTGGCACCCCCGGGCCTGGTGTACACAGACAAGATGGCGGCCTCTGTGGAAGACGAGTTTGAAGATGCACCTGATGTGGAGCCGCTGGAACCAACGTTGAAAAACATAATCGAACAGAAATCTCTGAAGTGGATCTTTGTGGGAGGCAAAGGCGGAGTCGGTAAAACTACGTGTAGGTGAGTGAAAACAGACGGACAATCCACGGACAGTGCATGACTCACCGCTAGCATCAGCTCTTAGCCGATAGCATTATTTTTGACCACTTATTGCTTATTCCACTTATTTACTTTTTTGTCTAGATCTAATATGATGATGACATTGTTTTTTCTATGTTTCTTAGTCGCATCAGTTATCTATAATATTAGATTCAGATTCGTTTTAGCCTGGATCTGTCAGACGTTTTAAATTAAGTGTGACAGGAGATAAACAATACCTACATTCATAACATTAACCCTTTTCTGTAGCGCTTTCAAAACGCAGAATTGTCAGCCCTTCAGTGATTGCAATCCCTAATAGCAACATTATTATTACTATTACATTAAATAGTTCATTTTATACATATATATACTCATTATATTATTGTATGGGCCAAAGTATGTATTTTTCAATTACAATAAAACTATATCTCTGTTTTCTGCTTAATAGGATTGATAGTATCCTGTTTTTAATGCATTATTTGACTATCACGGTTTGCTCTTTGTATGTTTCAGTTGTAGTTTAGCGGTCCAGCTGGCTGCAGTGAGGGAAAGTGTCCTCATCATCTCCACAGATCCAGCCCACAACATTTCTGATGCCTTTGACCAGAAGTTTTCTAAAGTACCCACCAAAGTCAAGGGCTATGAAAACCTTTTTGCAATGGTACGTATACTCCCAGTGAACAAATCCTTTTTCGATCAAAAACTCTGATTGTTATGTAATGTAATGTAGGAGATTGATCCGAGTCTGGGAGTGGCGGAGCTGCCAGATGAGTTCTTTGAGGAGGACAACATGCTCAGTATGGGCAAGAAGATGATGCAGGAGGCCATGAGTGCTTTTCCTGGCATCGACGAGGCCATGAGTTATGCTGAGGTGATGAGGTGAGTGAGGTAGCCTCTTCTCAACAGGCGTTTTCACACTCTTTAAACCCGGGAGTCGGGACCACATTTGAAGGTTTTTTTTCAGTCCCATCTTGTTGATTGAGGGTTAAGGAAGTGTTCTGTTACAGCCACTGTTACTAAGTGGCTGTAACAGATTACCGCTCCCTGTTTGGAGAGAGTCAACCTACAGAACAATAGGCAAAAAGTCCCCCTTGTATCCGAGCCATCACGTAAATGAAAAGCGATAACGCACATAATTACTTAAGTTGATTTGAACAAGAAGCCATGGATCCTGTTCCAGTATTACTGCGGCATAACTACAGAAATATTACTTACATATGTCTTTAAAACATTGGCTGCTTTGTCTTTTCTAATGTATGTGTCACATCCTTGTTTTTCAGATTAGTGAAGGGAATGAACTTTTCCGTGGTTGTTTTTGACACAGCACCGACTGGCCACACACTTCGGCTTCTTAACTTTCCCACCATCGTAGAACGAGGTCTGGGCCGCCTCATGCAGATCAAAAACCAGATCAGCCCTTTTATCTCTCAGGTTTAACTCATTCTATGGTCATTGTTTAAACTTTCTTCTTGGTTTGAATCAGAGAATGTTCATGCTGTCTTGTCTGTTCCAGATGTGCAACATGCTTGGTTTGGGCGACATGAATGCAGACCAGCTCGCCTCAAAGCTTGAAGAAACCCTCCCCGTCATTCGCTCAGTCAGTGAGCAGTTCAAGGACCCCGTAAGTGATCTCTGTTTTGATCATTTCAATAAAAAACAATTCAACTAATTTAATGATTTAACAGAACTGGCTCTCTGGTCATCTTTGTGGGTTCTTTGTCCCCACGCTATTTCAAAATCTTTGCGAGTCGAGTTATTTAGTTTAGAATTGATTAATAAAATGTTTTATCACGTTATTACACAATCATTTGTTCTGCAAATTATACCTCAGTAAAGAGACATCTACGGTGTGTTATCCGAAATCAACAAAATTGCAATCATATGTAGTAGTTTGTTTCAGATTTAATCTTTAATGTTTCCTTTTCATGATTATCCTTCCGGGTTTAAAGTGGTCTTCCATATTGAAGTTTATTGAAATATTTCTTTCACATTATCTGCAGGAACAGACCACATTCATCTGCGTGTGCATTGCTGAGTTCCTGTCGCTCTATGAGACCGAGCGGCTGATCCAGGAGCTGGCAAAGTGCCGCATCGACACTCACAACATCATCGTAAACCAGCTCGTTTTCCCCGACGCCGAGAGGCCCTGCAAGATGTGTGAAGCCCGCCACAAAATCCAGTCCAAGTACTTAGATCAGGTCTGTTTTTCATCCATGTTCTATAGATGCCATTCTCACTACTTTGCACAACAGGAGGACATAAAATAGTAAGGAATAAGGAAATGTATTGTCCATTGTAGGTTTGTCACAATATTTACTCTGTCAATTTATTGTTCAATAAGTAATTTATATTTATCTGTCTGTACATGTTCTGCAATATTGAAAAGATAATACGTCATTTTTCCTTTGTCATATGATACAATATGAGCTATACATACATAATTCTATATATCGTCCATCGAAATACTTTGTAGTTACATTTGTGTTTTAAGTGAAAAGTTTATACCAGTAAACTCACTGTTTTGGTCAAGCCTCTTTTTTTCCTTCAAAATAAAACATGTTGTTTGTCTCATCAGAAAGACAAGTAAAATATTTATTTCAAACCCAAAAACGAATCAGACTGCTGCAGATTCCTCCATAGAGATAGATAACATAGATATTTTCTCTCTGTCACATCTTTAGCTATGATCTTTACTAGAGGACAACAGATACATACTGATGAAAACTATTGATGGAACCAACAGTTATTTGAGAGCGAGCAACTAATGAGATGGACTTCATTACATAGTTCCATTCTCTTGTGGTTTGAAAATAAGGGTACCCTACTCTTAAGCTAACTCCAGTGTGATCATTGTATCCCTAACCCTAACCCTTGTCTTTTCTGTAGATGGAGGATCTCTATGAGGACTTCCACATAGTCAAGTTACCTCTGCTGCCGCACGAAGTCCGCGGCGCAGACAAGGTCAACACTTTCTCAAAGCAACTTCTGGAGCCGTACAAGCCACCAAACAAGTGATCTGTGTCTGCATCTCCTCTGTCCCCCTCTCTCCTGCCACTGCCGCAAAAAAACTCCTTTACAGTTTAAACACCCTCTTCTTCTTCTTCTTTTTCTTCAAAGTCTCAAACCAATGTCTTTTAGTTACAGAGAAAGTGTACAGTGATGTCATTTCTATTTGGGGGGAAAGATCCAGGACTCAAAGCATTCATTATTAGTGTGGCAGAATATCTTTCCATACATAGAAAGCATTTTAAGTGATGATTTAACCTTCCCAAGAATCGGATTTGGAATTGATTTGTTATCACATAGATGGTACAATATACATATTCTTCAACGACTGTGTTTGTCATACATTATTCAGAATTCATTTGCATTCCAAATTAACTAGTGGTTATTATCAAGTGGTAAAGATTGAGACCGATTGAAGAGAAATGCTTTTTTGATATGCTAACTCACAGCTTTATGGATCTAAAATGGAGAAATATTAAGATCCTCCATTCATCCTTATATTATTAGCTGAAGATGCTAAGTTTCTGTATTGAGACTTATTTCAAATCAAAGATAAGAAGACTCTGGACAAAATACTCAAACCCACATGTCTGCATCGTCAAAAACACCAAATGAACTCTCGCCTTTTCTGAATGTCTGCTGTCAGGTCAAAAGGTTCAACAGAGGGAAAAACGACATGTGTCTTTCTCTTTTGTAGCATCATCCTTGACTATACATTTAATTTTACTTTGTGACGGAATGCATTTGAGTCGGAAACTGTTTTCTAGAGATTGTTTTAAATTAAGTTGACAGAAAAATAAGAATATTAAACTTTGTTTCTGCTACATTTATTGTGCAATTATTGTTTTTCATGCATCATTTCACTTAAAGACGGACTCTACATTAGACCAGATCATAGTTGAAGGGACCGTATGTGGTCTGCACTCTTACTGGGCAAATAAAGTTATTACAAATACAGTCCAACTTCTGTGACCAGAAATTGCCCTCATCTCCTGCGTGTGACACAGTAGGCTCCTAAACACAGATTACAGAAGCAAACTTCTGCTGGAGTTTCGAATGTTTTGTATCTTCTTTCATTTAAAAAAATGTGTGGTGCAATTCTTTTGTTTGTGATTTGTGTTATTGGAAAAAAAAAACATTTTACAAAGAAAACAATCAACCCGAACCGCCTCATACTCCTCTGATGGGATAATCTCGTAAACCTAAATATTATGGATACCATTCCCATTGTACTTTTTAATTAATAACAACTTAAACTTCAAATGTTTGTTCAGAAAAGGTCAAATAAGATTAGAACACGTTGACCTATTAGCTGCGGACACATATTAAAAATGTCGATGTAATTGAAAATGATAATTACATGTGGTTGGTTTAAATTTGGACTTGATTTAATTTCCTAGACTTTTACTTCCTGTAAGTTAATGTAACTCCCTTCATTAGTTAGAATGATGTTTGAAAGATCACAAATGTGACTAACTTGTGTGTAAATTCTGCTTTTTGGGTTGAGTCCATTTTAAATCTGCTGTACTTATATTTTTCCAACTTTTGCCTCAGATGAACGCTCAAAGAATAGAAAACATCCTACAGACTTGCGTAGCTGATATAATCTCTCTAGAAAAGCTACTAAAAAGCGGTTTGCCACGGTCCACTGGATGCTGTACAGTGCGTGTGTCCTGTTGCTTTGGCATGTCACTTGTAGTCCATCAGCAGATCCAATTGTCCCGGTCGGGGGCTGCACTAATGAGCTCCTCCTTGTTTTGGGGATTTGCGGTGGTGTGCATCAGCCCGTGGACGCAGAAAACGAGGCTCCACTTTATGTGTAAACCGCAAAGATGTGCTGAGCAAGTGGCCTCAATAACAGCTCTCCCGGTTCAGGTGTGTATTGCTTGATTTTTGCTCAAAGCTCGCACAATAAGCTTACTTATGCCTGGTTTGTTCAAACTCAATATAGAGATGTGTGTTGGGCTGCTGTCTGAACGATGGGTTGAATGCTGACAACAAAGTATAGACTGGAATCAATTAATCTTCTTGTTTGAGTTGTATTCATATGACATATATTCAATTATACATACATTCCACAGGCTGAACTATTAATGTCCATCTCCACTGGGCGTTGAGTTGGTCTCCACCATGACGGTCACTTACACGGCCAGAGTTGCAAACGCTCGCTTCTGCGGCTTCTCCAAGCTGCTCCTTGCCTGGAGGGGAAGTATTTACAAAGTTCTGTACAAGGAGTTTGTGGCGTTCTTTGCCATGTACGCTGCCATCAGCATCACATACAGGTGAGACATATCCATGTGGACAGCTGTGACAGTGTTTTAATTGTGTGTTACGCTGAGGTTATTCAACTGTAAGTAATGTGCTTGATGTGGACTTCATAAAAGCTAAACGCAAATAAACTGAACATATAGCTGTTTGCATTGGATCTGTTTAAAATAAATCCAAATGTTTATCACTATAAACACATTATTAGAGAAACATTAAAAAATTAAGATACAGATGTGCTTACTAATGTGTGCAGTGATAGTAAGAAGTATTATCATGACATTATCTGTATTGTTACAGATGTAATAATGTAGATTTACAGAACTTTATCCTTTCATGCCAATACAATGTTGGTAAGATCAATTGTAGCCACAGCAGCCTTAAAGTTGACTGGCAGAAGCCACCCACACACACACAAACACGCCAATACATCCTTAACACACACACACACATGTAAATGCATACAAGGAAATTTGGGTTGAGTGTTGTGCCACTTTAGAGCTTCAGTTGCTCCTGGTGTTCCGAGTGGTCTCCCATCACAGCACTAACCGGACCCTGCACTACTTAGCTTCTGTGATCTGAAGAGGTCTTGAGCTGGTCTAACTTAAGGGAGTCATTCTCACACCGTCCACATCATTTCAAGCTATACCACTATTTGGAAATCAAGATAAAGAATTACCTTATTTTTTCTAAATATACTCTACTTATTGTACTTGTATAGAATTAAAAACATGTACCTGTTGTTCCTTCTCAGATTTTTCCTTTATGACGAACAGAAGAGATATTTTGAAAAGCTCGCCATTTACTGTAACCATTACGCCAGTCTCATCCCCATGTCTTTTGTGTTAGGTAAGGTTTAGAATTTCAAATATTTATCATAATATAAACTAGGGACACACTGTTTCAAGATGTCCATTAAAGGGGACCTGTAATGATAAGGTTTGTAACAATTGTTGACGTCTCAGCATCTTTTCCTTAAGTGAAAAGTTTGTTTTCTGTATTGTCTTAATGTTAAAAACCTATATAAATAAAGGGTCTCACTACTTACTTACCTTCCATCTATGTGTCAACTTTACATATGTGTGGTATCATTTGGCCTGCCTCATGTGTACTATTTTTTGAGAATATTCTACATATATTTTTCTTTCTTCTCCCAAAACAAAGCAGGAACTCCTTATGTATTTTGTAGCAGAGATTATTAGATAAGATAACATTGTATTAATCTCATAATGGAAAGATTTACAATGACATTTTAGTAGATTTCCCTGAAAACAAATCCTTCTGAATGGATATTTCTCAGTTTTCCAGTTATGTCAGTATTTTCATCTTTCTGGAGCAGGGTTCTATGTGACTCTGGTGGTGAATCGCTGGTGGAGTCAGTACACCTGCATCCCGCTCCCTGACCAGCTCATGTGCATTCTCTCCGGTGGCCTGCAAGGCGGCGATGAACGCGGCCGTTTGCTTAGAAGGACATTGATGCGTTATGCGAGTCTGTCCGCACTCCTCATCCTGCGCTCCGTCAGTACCGCCGTCTTCAAACGCTTTCCCACCGTGGACCATGTGGTGGAGGCAGGTGTGTGAGACGTGTGTAACCTATGATTTTTGCCAACTTAAAGGACACCTATTATGCTTAACTTTTTCCCATTAAAAATCAATGGCCTCATTTCTACAACATAAAATTACGACTATCAAAACTATTTCAGGGGCACTAGTAAAAAAACTGTTACTTCACCTGGCCCAGAAAAAAATTATTGCAAAACACTGTTATTTTCAGAGAAGCTTAACTTTGCAATGGGCTGCCTAGGGAGATAAGGGGTTGGTAGAAGGCTCCTCCCACCCCATATAATCAGACTTGCCCATTGGAGGAGGCCTGACTTCAGTGCAGGGAGGAGGGAGAAGACTTGCAAACAAAACTGTATCTAATTCAACAATTTTTTTTAAGGAAGTTTTTAGTAAATATTTTTCTACAGCACTGCCCAAAGCCCACTGTTGACAACTGATAAATCCACCCCAGTTACATGTTGTGCCCCACGGACCGCAAACCGTACTTTAAGTCACTACAATACAAATTACATTGATATGATATACAACACAAAGCTTTAGTTATCATCACACATAAAATAACAATAAATCTCCAGTCCGAGCTGTTGTGAAATAAAGTTCATATTGCAGGATTCATGACAAGAGAGGAGAGGAAGAAATTTGAAAGTCTCCAGTCCCCCTATAACAAATACTGGATCCCCTGTGTTTGGTTTACTAACCTGGTCGCTGTGGCTCGCTGTGAGGGGCGGATCAAAGACGACAACACTCTGAAACTTCTACTGGAGGTACCAACATTTAAGAGCAGTCAACATGTACACACACACATTACTCAATGGTGGTAGTATGATAGGTTTAGGTTTTGGTACTTTGAATGTCTATTTTATTTTGTTACTTGGCTGGTTGTTACTTTTCACATACTTTCACGTCGGTTCCACAGTATTTTCAGCATACTCTGGCTCATTTAAAGGCTGTATTTTGTCCAAACAGGAGCTGAACGTGTTCCGGGGGAAGTGTAGCATGCTGTTTCACTACGATATGATCAGTGTTCCTCTGGTCTACACACAAGTAAGACGTTTGACAGACATACTGTATGTACTGCCAACAACCACTTGAGGTCAAAGGTAGATTCAATTAGTTTTGGAATAGATCAGGAGTGTCAAACCAGTCCAGTGTGGCTGCAGATTTTAGTTCTAACCTACATCAGAGCACACCAAACTCTGCCCATTTCCTTAGGTGAGTCCAGTTTTAACCTGAAGATCTGAGGAAATGGGTGGGGTCTAGTGAGCTACTGCCCAGGTGGGAACAAAAAACTACAGCCCTTACTGGAACCGGTTTTACCCCCCTTGAGTATCACCAACTTTTCAATTATGGTACATTCACTAATTTGTCAACCAATATCAATACATTTTGGTATCCAGACATAATGAGTCTTCAGGTTAAGACTGAACTCACATGAGGAAATTATTAAATAATCTGGTTAGTTATACTTTTATTGTCCCAGTGGGGAAATTTGACCCATCTCTGCATCGACACATCCTTCAATGTCACTGGGGCGTCTGTCAGGAGCAGTGGTCACAGTGCAGAGGGACCTATCTCCAGATGTTGATGCTCATCTTGGTCACGACCAGAGCTGAAGGATTTTGTACATGTTTGAGTGGTCGGGGAAACCGGAGCACCCAGGGAGAACATGCAAACTCCACACAGAAAGACCCTATTCTGACCGGGATTTGAACCACTGAGCCACTCTGTCTATAACTGAGTGGAGTATGGTGTGATTGTTGTGCCCTGCTCCCATCAGCTGCTCCAGGACATCGAATACTCGAGCAGACTACCACGATGTATGGAGTGAAGGAAGCATATACAGAACTGTAAAATGATTGTGGATTTATATAAAACACCCAAGAGCTAAAATACAGCCCTTATTTGCAGAGTTGAGACAATTCAGGTTATTTGCTTTTTGTAGTAAAACCCCATTGGAATACCATTCATAATACTTCCCCATATTTTTTATTTAGATTTTTCATGCTTCCAATGAACGGGTAAATGTGTTGAAATGAACAGACAATATCTATAATATCTCTCTCTGCAGGTTGTGACTTTGGCGGTGTACACTTTCTTTCTAGTTTGTTTAATCGGTCGTCAGTTTTTGGACCCGGCTCAAGGCTATCCCGGCCACGACCTCGACCTCTACGTGCCCATCTTCACCCTGCTGCAGTTTTTTTTCTATGCTGGGTGGCTCAAGGTGAAAAAACGAGTAACTTTACCAAAACAACTCGAATAGAAAAGATGTGTGAGTGTGTGTTACACTTTCTCGTTTGGCCTGCAGGTGGCGGAACAGCTTATAAATCCCTTTGGTGAAGATGACGATGACTTTGAGACCAACTGGCTCATAGACAGGAATTTTCAGGTTGGACCATAATTTAAAGTATGCACTCGTCACATGCAACAAAGCTACAGTAGAATGTTGATTATTTTGATCTTAAATTTTGTAAATGTATTATTTTGTTTGTATTGTAGAAGTTCTCTCAAAGCAAATACATTTAGAAAGACCTGTATTCTCCCCAGATGGATTTTTTTTCCACAGACACTGTCAATACATGAAAAATCACATGGAACAATACACAAGCGATGCAGGACATGTTCAGAGCAGCTGTGACAGAAGGGATACAACTTTGGCTAATGATGTGTGTACGCATGTGAGTGTTCGGATGCAACCTTGTTATGTTTGCATGCATGATGGAGAGCTTGTTGAAAAAGGAGGGAGAAGATTACAGAAGAATTGGCTGAATAATTGACCTCCATAATGTTATGCTTATGGAGGATGTGGATGTCTGTGTCATGTTCTTTGAGGTATATTTGTCTAATGTGAGTCAGAGATATTAAAAGTTATTATTCAGAGCAGGGGGCTGTTAGTGTTGATTAATGATTCCTAGCCAAGGGTGCATGATCTCATGTCAGGGGTTGTTTGAATGGTCAGATTTAGCTAGAATCTGAATCCATTTATTTCCATTTGCATAAAAAACTACATTGGAATTGAAACAGGAGACACAGGGGGCACCAACACCAAAAAGCAGACACATACAGACAAAAAGAGTATAAATAGCGAGACAAGACACAGTGAGGCACATATAAAACTCTTAAAAGCATAATTAAAAAACTACAAAGGTGCTACAAAGAAAAGCAGATCTCAGGGCGCTCTGTTCAGTCTAACAACCGCACAAGAAGCACAACATAGTACTTGAATATATATATTTTTTAAGTTGTACGTCCTGTATATAGTGTCTTTGTTTACTCAGGTCTCCATGATGGCGGTGGATGAGATGTACAGTGACCTGCCGCTGATGCAAAGGGACAGATACTGGAACGACTCAAACCCCCGGCCGCCGTACACCGCTGCCACAGTCTTTGTTCTGAGAAAACCTTCTTTCCAAGGCTCCACCTTTGACATGGCGTAAGCTTCACTTTCACTGTTATTAACTGTCTGTTTTTAAAGTCAACAAGTATTTCACTTTCCCACATTGTCTTTGTTGTCTGTCTGCTTTAATTTCTTGTATTTATTTTGTATATGTTATAGTGTTGTGACTATGGTTATGTTTGTATTGCTTTATGCTGACTGTGCAGTGCTATGTAAACACTGTTGAAAAGTGCTGTACAAATACAGATGTATTACTATTATTATTATTACTTATCTGCACCTCAAGCACACTCTGATGTCTCTACACTGATTTATTTGAAGTGACCCAAGAAAAGGTTTTTTTATCCAAAGAAGGCGTTAAAATTGTCTCATCTTCAAATCAAATCTCTCTTGTCATAGTCTGTGCTCTTGTCTCATGTTGTTTGGTGCATCTCTGTCTTACAGGCTGCCTAAAGAGGAGATGCACTTCCAGCCTTTGGAGAACATTGCTGAAAATACAGAGGAGTCGAGCAGTCGTCAGTCAAACATGGCTCTGTTGAACCGCCTGCTGAACGTGGCGCCCAGCTCCAGCGGGCTGATGGGAGGAGCACTGCGCCGCACCTCAGCCCAGCTCCAGAGACTACGGCAGTATCCCAGTGTGGACCCCAGCATCAGCGACGACGACGAGGCCTTCACTGTGAGTACAGACTCAAATCTCATGGACTCACCAAGGTGTTTAAAGGAATAGTTCACTGTTTTTACATACTGACATATGTTCTTACCTTACCTTAGACTAGTTAATATGTACCTGTCTGGTCTTAGTCCGTGCGCTCTGTCATGCAAACGGAGCAAAAACGGGAGCACAACCGCAGCCTCCTCTGTATATTTTGTAGCACCAAAAGGTAGCTCCCGCTAGAAGCTACCAAACTCTTCCACGTGTTCCCTATTAAATGTATATAGTTACGTGACGTGTTACACTGCAAAGTATAGTAACACAGAAATGTAACAGTCGATTTTCTCAGCGGATAAAACGGGTACTATATTGTGAGGCGTAGCTACGTCCGCGCACTAACTTCTCTCCGGAGACTTCTCTCTCGCTCACTTCCGTCAATAGAAGCAGCGTGACTTGTAATACACACAGTAGCAGCGAGAGAGAAGTCTCCGGAGAGAAGTTAGTGCGCGGACGTAGCGCTCCTAACTTCTCTGCGCACTAACTTCTCTCCGGAGACTTCTCTCTCGCTGCTACTGTGTGTATTACAAGTCACGCTGCTTCTATTGACGGAAGTGAGCGAGAGAGAAGTCTCCGGAGAGAAGTTAGTGCGCGGACGTAGCGCCCCTCAGATTACTACGCCTCACAATATAGTACCCGTTTTATCCGCTGAGAAAATCGACTGTTACATTTCTGTGTTACTATACTTTGCAGTGTAACACGTCACGTAACTATATACATTTAATAGGGAACACTTGGAAGAGTTTGGTAGCTTCTAGCGGGAGCTACCTTTTGGTCCTACACAGTATACAGAGGAGGCTGCGTTTGTGCTCCCGTTTTTGCTCCGTTTGCATGACAGAGCGCACGGACTAAGACCAGACAGGTACGTATTAACTAGTCTAAGGTAAGGTAAGAACATTTGTCAGTATGTAAAAACGGTGAACTATTCCTTTATGTAACAGTCATCTATTAGGCAAGTTTATTTGTATAGCACAATTCATACACAAGGCAACTCAAAGTGCTGAACAAGACAAAATAGCACTAAAATCATAAATAACCACAGTACATTAAAAAGAAGGCCATGGAGAGAATTGTAACAGACAGAGCTGTTTATTAAACATGGAAGTCTTTAGTGGGGTTCAAACACATTTTAGTCATATTTTTTCTCCTGCAGTCAAAAGGTAATAGATTTCACAGATTTCTCCACCAAATGGTTATACTTTGTTCAGATGCTGCTTATGCTCACCTACTGTAAAATTGCATCTATGTTGACAGATTTGTAGTGTCTGTGGGTGTCATAGATTTGAATACTGTATATACCAGACTGAAGCAGAAAGTCTTCCCCAAACAGAGGAGCGTTGGGGAACCTCTTCTCGACATGCAGTTTGGAGAGGAAACCCAGGAGCTGAGGATCGAGGAGGATGGAGATTCACTCAAACAGGCCCCATCTATGAGGTCCCTGCTGCTTCCACCTCAGCCCCAAAGCACCAGAGCGGTCTCTGCCATCTCCCCACGGTCCTGTGCCCTGCTCCAGCCCATAGACCCCGCCCACCTGGACCACAGCAGCTCTCAGCCAGTCATCAACCTGAACCCCTCCACCCTCAGTGCCATCAGCCCTCCCTCGGGAGCAAACGGGACGTCCTGCTCCCAGCCCCAGAGAGCGCGCAGTGTGAGTACGGGATTAGAAACGGCCGCACCACAACATCATGAGGACTTTACTCAAAACTAGAGTTGGACTTGACACAGTCTCTCAGCTGCTGTGGGGCGGACACTGAAATGCAAATATATTCACAAATATTCTCTCAAAGACCAAGGACTTTTGTATAAAATTAGCTAGCAATTTTAGAGTTCTGACCAAAATTGTTTTTGTTCATTATGTAACAAAGTGATTATTCTTCTGACGAATCATTCAATTGATGAATCATGATGAAGCTAAAGTGGCGCTATTCTAGGACATCCTATTAAAAAAAGAATTACTGTTTTATTTTTGTGTTTTTTTAAACATTGGATTACACTGGTATAGCTAGTTGCAAATAATGCTGCTTTTGAAGATTTATTTTTCATTTTTTACATGTTTTACTTGTCAGTGCCAAAACTCTTATACAATATATAAAAGTACAATATTCTTGTGAAATTGGCCTGAGGGGGTTGGAGCCCAATAAGCCATTTCTTTGTCCAACAACTTTTCAAAATGTTTTTTTTTTTTTTTTAAATATAATGTCTGTATCTTGTTTGTTTTGTTATGCTGTATGAAAAATATAAGTTCGAAATAAATACTTACTTACGTTCTTACTTGTTAACACAAAACAAAACCACAATAAATTCTCTACTCATTTATTAATTTCACAGTGACCAAAAATAAAAACATAAATTTGAAGGTAGTTCACATTTAAATAAGTTACTGGAAATGACCAGCAGGTGGAGACAGCCTCAAACTAAAGTGACACCACTTTGTTGCTCATAATGAAACTCTTCACTTTCATCGATCAGCTGTAGCACGTGCTCAGGTTTTGCTCTTGGGTCTCAGAGTGGACAGTCTCTGTTTGGACAAAAAGGACTGAGCTCCACGTGGTGATCGAGCCTCTTCAGCGAAACCGTGCTGCTGCAGAACCCTAGACTGGGAATAAATCAATAAATACAGCAGTTACAGCAGATTTGAAACTTTATAATGTCCATCCTCTGGTTTCAAAGCAGCATAGAGGTCAAGAAAGTACCAGCCAGACTTGAGCCAAACCTAGACTTTACCACACTTGTTATTACATGGTACTGTCATGAATATGTGTGAGGTGAGCAGTGTAGATTCCCAGTATTGACAACAGTAGAGATGGCAAGAGTTTTTAGGTGGTTTTGTTCACATTTATAGTTTGATATTAAAAGTAAAACAAGCATATATGCATAATCTTTCAAACATCCATAGAGTGCTAATTCTTGCCATTTTTGCTGCTTAATGTTAGTTAATGTATTATTACTAAAGTCATTGGTCAACAAAAAAGATAAGAGCAATTTCCACATTTACACAAGACCAAAAGGGTTCAGGCTGAAGTTGAACACTACCCTAAATGTAAACAAGTTTATTATGTTTTCTGAGGTTTAAGGCTGAGAACGTTCTTTTGATAAGACACAAATGTAAAGAAGTTAGTGCTGCTTAATTACTTGACATGTTTCTGCAGTAGACTTCGTCAGACACCTGATGGTGTGACGTGTCTCTTATCAGCTGTTGTTACCGGATACCGCCGAAACATGTCGGGTAGTTAAGTCACAATAGCTTTTTTACATTTTTGTCTTATTAAATGAACCTTCTAAGCACTAACTACCCTATCAAAGAAATATTTTTGACCAAAACTGCAGGACATCAACACTGGTGCTTCATCGATAACATATTTACACTTTTGAATTACTCAACAATTTACACTATCCAATTTATTTGTACCAATCGGATAACCTATCTATTTTAATTTGCATTATTAGTATCCTTAGTATATTACATTTACTATTACTGATAATAGTATTGGGTCATGTAAGTAATATTTCACAGCTACATTTCACCCAAAACGCTTCAGTGTTTTGTTTTGGAGTTACCAATATCTCACACAGAAGTGAGACGCCGAACATTCGTCACCAACCGTTCAAAAGCTCATTACGTTCAGACCTATTGTACATGTTTTTCGTGGTAAGGGAAACCGGAGCCTCCGGAGGAAACCTACACAGACAAGGGAAGGAAAAACTCCACACAGTCTGGAGGCGGAATAAAACCCAGGACATTCTTGCTGCCGCTGTGTGAACCATTATGTAACACATGTAGAAGCAGGTTTTAGCCGCAGAAGAAGAATCATTATCATCTGAGTGTCATTATTGAAATACTCACCTTTAATACCCTAAATATGAATTATGAACGTGGACTGTATTGTACTCTTACTGTAGTACATGCAGCGACTCCAGTCTCAGCAGAGTTGTTCTTATGAAATATTGTTTACAGTTTTTGTGTCATAAATCATTTTATTTTGTTTATCCTCATCAGCAGAAAGATCTTCAAGCTATTTTTTAACAAACAAAAACACAACGTGCCGTCTTCATGACCTCACCCCACATTTGTATCCTCTGTGAACTTGGACGCTAGAGCCCAAACAGTCGGAGTATGACCCTGTGAGCTGATTGGCTGAGCACCGTGGGTATCCTCACTGTCACTTCTGATCTGAAACTGCCACTGGCTAATCCTAGATGTCAACACAAAGCGATGAACCAAACTGTTTTCAAAGCGTGGAACTAATTATATGGATTTAATTACTCCACCTTTTGCGAGTGGAAAATCAGGTTGACCAGCTTTAAAATATAATAGAGCCGAGGTTTAAAAATCTCTCTGGATTAAACCACAGACTGGATAAGACCTGTGCAGCTTCCACACATCTTCATTGTTAATTGTTATTGGAAATGTTTCTGACTAACACTCAATTAACACGAGGCACTTGTCACCTCACCATGTCTTGCCACGCTGTCAGAATCAGTTCCTCCTCTTGCTCTAGTGTGGCCCTTTTTGCTCCAATACTTGAGTCCTGTTGAAATTAAAAAATAATTTAATATTACAACAACTATTTAAATCACAATCAGAAGCATTTCCATTTTAAGAAAAGCAAAGTCGCACATCAGGAACTTGCTTTGGTCTATGCTGAAAACAAGTTATAAAAAATGTAAAGTAGATATAAAGGCACGCATAAAAAACAATCAAATTCAATTAAATAAATATAAAGATTAGATTAGATATAAGGCTGAGTAACTTACTTTTGGAGCTGCGCTTGCGTCTAATGCTCTGACTTTGATACTCATTCTGTGGAAGCTAAAGGAGATCCATATAAATAAATACATCAAAATGACAATGAAGTCACATTAGCAGCGCCTCTGTTTCGTCTGATGGTTTGTGCTGTTTGCTGGTCTTTGCCTGTGGTCGCACTACAGCTGCTTTAAGCTCAGAGCTCCTGGTTTTGCTGATGAGGCACATTCACTGTCGCGCTCCCAGTGATGGACGGGGATTTGAAGGTAAGCACCTCTATACAATTAGTACAATTAGATAAAACTGACAACAGGAAATAGAATGGTTCACAAATGATGGGAGACTGGAAAAGGCCATTATCATCATCAGCAGTCTTTATTCACACTCGGGACACATCTATCACTAATACTAATACCAGTAAGACAGTTATTAAATTTGTCCAATAGATGGTGAAACTTGGTGAATCAGACTGAGAAAATGTTTATTAGTATTGACACAAATCAGAAATGGTTTCTTTTATCCAGAAACATGAAGATCCAGGAAATAAAATAACACCAAACAAATGAGACGAATACATTTGGTACACATCAAATACAAAATATCACTAGTTCTTTGCAGTTTTCAACGTCCGTCACATCTTTAGATCAGCTTTTTCCAGTCATAAAATAAATCATTTAGCAGCTCTCAGCCCAAAGTGTCAAGTAGGGACTTACATGGTTCTTTTTACAAGGAAGAAATTACTGTGGTTACTTTGTGTGAGAAAGGCAGAGGGCCACATCAAACGTCACAGTGGGCCGCATTTAGTCCGCGGGCCTTAGTTTGGACATGCCGCTCCTAGTTTCTTAAAGGACAAGTAAAATGCAGGGGACAAATTTCAGGACAATAAAGTATAAACATAACATAACTTGTATATGCAGATTTTAATGTTTATGATTTGCTGGATATGATGTGGGTTGTGAAGCGCTTTGTGTTGCCTTGAGTAGGAAAGGCGCTATACAAATAAACGTTGATTGATTGATTGAACTTAACTAAAAAAAGAAAACATATTTGCAATTTTAGGTTTGGGTTTTCTGGTGGTAGAGACATTTGTCCCTTTTTGGTTTGTGGGAAGTTTACCAATGACTGTGAGAAAACATGTGACAGGTGAGAAGGGGAAATTTCATCAGAATATACGAACATTTCAAAGCAAAGCAAACTAGTCCAAAATGAATGTAGCTTCATGTGACGTTACCACAACAGATGCTTTGATCTTTAAATAACACATAAAAAACAGTTTATTACACTCAGTTCATCATTCGTGGTTGTTTATCTGCTGAGTAATTATCACCGTCATTGACCCAGAAACATTGTAAATCCCTCATTATCACCCATCCCTGGCTGCATGCGTTGTCCGTTTTCTGTTTTAATAAATATACATGAATACACTGTCACTGCTGAGTAATGGCAACTTGAAAGTGATAAAAAGTGAAAAATAGTTGCGTATCAGCGTTGGCATATGTTGTTTTTGCCTTTAAGTGTGAAAACGTAAGTGTGTGGGAGGATTCTCAAAGAGCTGTGTGTGTTTCTCTGGAACCACAGACTTTAAGGTCAGCCAGAGACCGACAACCAGGCCTGACTCTAAACTGACATTTTACTCGTAAACCGGTCATTACGTGGCATTTAGGATTTAGGCCGTGAGACATATTTTTGCACTCTATAATTACAGGTTTTATTTGTTATGTATTTATTACTTGACAAATTAGTATATTGACAATTGTTGGCATTTGTGTCAATAATATAGATACGTACTGTATATTTTCTGTCATTTAGGAGGGACTTTGGTGTCGCATAGGTAATTAGTAAGTCAGTCATAGCTTCTTGGTGACTACGTGGGATTAAAGTTTATTGACCTTTATTCAACCAGGAAAGTCCCACAGAGACTTCAGAATCTCTTTTTTAGGGGAGTCCAGGCTCCAGAGAGAACAGATGGTGAAAGAAACCTAGATAAGTTTTGTAAAACAAATATCCTTGGTGGACAAAAATAAGATACTAAATGATTCTTGGGAATATATAACCAAACCCTAACTAAAGAAGCACATCTCTCTTTTTTTTTTTATCAAATAGAAAAAGAGAAAAAAATCTATACAGTACAGATACAAAATGTTATCTAAGTTCAAACTGAAATAAAGCCATCAAAGAATGTTATCATTAAAAACAAAACATTCATACAATTGCAGTTTGTATAGAGAGCAGCAATTCATCTTTTACTAAAATATTTGTTGATTATTGGAATAAATACACTTAATTTTATAAATGAATCAAATTAATTTCCCCAATTATAATTAGTAGTGGTAGTATTATTACTAGTATTATAGTTGTTAATGTTGGATTGAGCCTGTACAGTAGATTTATCTCAGAACAATCATTTTCTTACTATGTTTTGAGGCTCACTTTACTCATTATAAAATCTAAAACTTTTTCATGGAGGAAAAGAGCAGCTTGTGTGACAATTCTAATGAATGTTTTTCTCCTGTTCACTGCACTTTCTATTTGCTCAGGTTCTGTTTACCTTTGGATTAGGCTCTAACTGAGTAAACGGTCACGTGATCAAAGTCAAGTTTATCCTGAGCTTTGAGGGCAGCGTTTGGGGCACACCCTGCTGAAGGTGCGTCTCTGGTCTGGTCTCTGGTCTGGTCTCTGGTCTGGTCTCTGGTCTGGTCTCTGGTCTGTGCCCTGGTCTGGTCTCTGGTCTGTGCTCTGGTCTGGTCTCTGGTCTGTGCTCTGGTCGGTGCTCTCGTTTGGTCTCTGGTCTGGTCTCTGGTCTGGTCTCTGGTCTGTGCTCTGGTTGGTGGTCTGGTCTCTGGTCTGGTCTCTGGTCTGGTCTCTGGTCTGGTCTCTGGTCTGTGCTCTGGTCGGTGTTCTAAAGAAGCACAATAGGTCTCTTGTCTGGTCTGTGCTCTAGTATGTGCCCTGGTCTGGTCTCTGGTCTGGTCTCTGGTCTGTGCCCTGGTCTGGTCTCTGGTCTGTGCTCTGGTCTGTGCTCTGGTCTGTGTTCTGGTCTGGTCTCTGGTCTGGTCTCTGGTCTGGTCTCTGGTCTGTGCCCTGGTCTGGTCTCTGGTCTCTGGTCTGGTCTGTGCTCTGGTCTGGTCTCTGGTCTGGTCTCTGGTCTGTGCTCTGGTCTGTGCTCTGGTCTGTGCTCTGGTCTGTGCTCTGGTCTGTGCTCTGGTCTGGTCTCTGGTCTGTGCTCTGGTCTGTGCTCTGGTCTGGTCTCTGGTCTGTGCTCTGGTCGGTGCTCTGGTCTGTGCTCTGGTTGGTGGTCTGGTCTCTGGTCTGGTCTCTGGTCTGGTCTCTGGTCTGGTCTCTGGTCGGTGTTCTAAAGAAGCACAATAGGTCTCTTGTCTGGTCTGTGCTCTAGTATGTGCCCTGGTCTGGTCTCTGGTCTGGTCTCTGCCCTGGTCTGGTCTGTGTTCTGGTCTGGTCTCTGGTCTGGTCTCTGGTCTAGTCTGTGCTCTGGTCTGTGCTCTGGTCTGGTCTCTGGTCTGGTCTTACGCACACACACATACTTGCACACACTCTTGTTGTATCGTTAAGAATAACTACAGAATTTTCTTTGATAAAAGAAATATGTAGTAACTGCATTCCTTTTTTATAGATTTGATTTATATAAGGGGTGTCCAAACCTTTGAATAAGAGGGCCAGTTTAGTAAACCAGACCATGGGCTGACAACCCAGATGGTAAAACAGCTTTGACTGGATCGAGCTGTTCTGGGCTTTAAAAGGAGATAATATAACCTTTCGACAGAAGGGTACTAGCATTTCATCACAGCTACATTAGAGACGTATTTGAGAAAAGCAATAATCAGTTCATACAAATAAGGTAAAAACTGGACTCCCAGGGTTCTGAGCTCCACTACCAAGCATACTGTATATAATGGAACGTAATGGTGGAGCTGAAGTTGGCTGGATGACACTGCAAACTTGTGTTTATGACCAAGGCAGAGGACCACATAACCTGACACAGAGGACCACATTTGTTTGGATATGCCTGGTTTAGATGAATTACACCTAAAACTTAACTACAGACATTTCTCATGCCAACATACAGAGCAGCTCATTAGCATATTCACGCCATGTACTATCCTAAAAGTGGATTAAACTGTCTGCATATTTAGGAAATCTTTCCTGTTTTATGCTTTTCAAACATCTATTTGCTTCATTAATCCCTGTCACACTTTTGACTAAATCTGGTGTTTAGCTGCGAGTATTAGCAAACGAGCCCCTGATTAAAACGGTGTATATTTACCTCAGGCAAATCTGAACCATGTCTAAACTATTTCTCTTCACTCGATTGGCATAAACACGCGTTATATAATTTGGTACAGGGTTATATTTAACGTGAATATCTCTCAGATGCCTTTCCAAATGAAAATCTAATTAAATGTGTTTAACGGTTTAGCGCAGGCAGTTGGCAGGTGACGGAGCAGGAGCCTTTGATTCCAAAATACTTGGAAACATCTCATCTTTGTGTTTGCATTTAGTAGTGGCTTTGGAGGCAATTATAAGAGAATGGGTAATAAAAGACATGTGCGTATTGATGGCATTACAAAAGTAGTGGCAGTGGTGTGTTTGTAGACAGAGTAGTAGTAGTAGTAGTAGTAGTAGTAGTAGTAGTAGTAGTAGCAGTTGTAGTAGTAGTAGTAGTATAGGAGTAATGGAAGTAGCAGTTGTAGTAGTAGTAGTAGTAGTATAGGAGTAATGGAAGTAGCAGTTGTAGTAGTAGGAGTATCAGCAGATTCAGTAGTTGTAGCAGCAGTAGTAGCAGTCGCAGTAGCAGGAGTAGTAGAAGTAGCAGTTGTAATAGTAGAAATCGTAGCAGTTGTGGTAGTATAGTAGTACTGTAGTAGTAGTAGTAGTAGTCGTAGTCGTAGTCGTAGTCGTCGTCGTCGTCGTCGTCGTCGTCGTAGTCGTAGTAGTAGTAGTAGTAGTAGTAGTAGTAGTAGTAGTAGTAGTAGTAGTAGTCGTAGTAGTAGTAGTCGTAGTCGTAGTTATAGGGTTAGTAGCAGTTGTGGAAGTTTTTGTAGTACTACTATTTGGATTTGGTAGTTCTAGAAGCTGTAGTAGAAGTAGTAGTAGCAGTAATAGAAGTAAAAAAAGTAGTATTAGTAGTAGGAATAGTTGTAGTAGCAGCAGTAGTAGTAGTAGCAGTAGTAGCAGTAGTAGCAGTTGTGGTAGTAGTTAGGTATAAGTTGTTGTAGTACTACTAGTTGGTTTTGGTAGTAGTAGAAGCTGTAGTAGAAGTAGTAGTAGCAGTTAAAGAAGTAGAAATTGCAGTATTAGTAGTAGTAGTAGGAATATTTTTAGTAGCAGTAATAGTAAAAGCAGTAGCAGTAGTAGTAGGAGTAGTAGCAGTATCATGAGTGTATTATGTGTGTTTTCGGATCAGTTTTTACATGTATAGTACTGTCCGTGTGTATTTCCTGTCACTCTTGAAAACAATGAAACCTGAGTGAACATAACGTTTATATTATTATGTGTTCATTCTTCTATGATACTTTGAACACACGTCTCTTTGATTACAGTTATTACAAACATTTATGGACATTGGTCGTCTGCCTCTTATGGACCAAGGGCTCTATGTGGTTCTTTGTTTTTATCGTTGCATTTCTTGTATTTGAGCTGTTTAATTCTCTGATCTGTGTTGGCGAATTCAAAGGTTTTGTTGAGGCCTCCGAGATAACTGTTGTTGTGATTTAGGGTGATGCAAGAATGAATTGAGTTGATTTGAATATTGTCGAGTGCTGCTTCCATTGTTCAGTTTCACCGCAGAGTTTGTCCTGAAGCCTCACTGTTTATGCAGAGCAAGTGAAAAACGTGTTATTCACTTTACAGATGTTGTAAACGACATAATAATTCAGGTTTCATTCTGTGAAATGGACGTCAGGGTTACCACAGGTCGACCTTTAGCACTGATTCAAATATCGCAATTAAGTTACTCTTATTTATTTTGTCATTTACCGTCAACACTACAACACCAGGATTCAATGTTAGGGCTCCGATCCATCTTTTTCTAAGCTGCCTATTATCAAAGTATGAATAATGATAATAATATGAGGGAAGTGGGAATAATAATATGTTTATTTCTTTGCACTTATAACGAGCGGTTGATTTGAGTTCATCAACATCGACTGAACATGTTTTCAAACTATATTTATTACTCTGTAAGGATTCTGTACTGTACACTGTGTACATGGAGTCAAGCTACTCATGTTAAAGCCTGATCTCTTTAGTTAAGCAGTGCATGGCCTGGTTAGTACTGTGATGGGAGACTGACGCTATACGAGTGGGACGGATTGAGTCTGGTAAATCAATAATTACCCTGGGCCTAAATCAATATTGATTGCCACACAGTTTGTAATATAACTTTGAACGAATCTGAGATTCAAGAATCTATTAATTCCTTTTTTCTGTAAACCAGTAAAACACTAGAGACTTTGCTTTGTGGGCATTGTAGACTGGCCTCTTCTGGGTTCTCATTGCATTTTAAATTGGGGTCACTCATTTGATTTAGACGATGTTTGAGACTCCTCAAACCAACACAAAGTACAAAGTAAAAATAACCACATCTCTTTAAGTCAGTTTGAGCAAAAGTTATCTGAATCCTGGAGCGTCACATCTGCACTGGACAGATGTTTCAGACCAGACCACTGTGGGGCACTAGTTAAGGGCCGACTCCCCTGTCACTCATCACCCCTGGGCCTGTGATGGGCTCCGACAGAAGCGGCTGTCCTCTGTCCCCTCGGACCCTCGGACCCTTACTGCTGGAGGTCCCACCACCATCATCTCCCCCAGGACAGAGCTGGACCAGGGCCCGGGTGTCAGTGGGGTCTGATGGACCTCCGATGGAAACTGACAAAAGCATAACCAAGATCAGGTTTGTCGCCTTGGAGGCGGTTAATGTTAATGTTGATGTGACAGCAGCAGAGACAGTGGTTTGTGCAGCTCATGACACTGACTGAATAACCTTCACTTTAATGATGAACTATTTATTAAAATAATGCAAATATTTGGGTAGACAACACTTCATAATAATATTAGTTACTATAATAATAGCCTTAATAATACTTACAACCTAAACCCTGACAGTGCACCTTGACATTTCAGATAATATTTTTAATAGTTACGACTGATGGCAAACAAATCTAAATGAGTGTTAGATTTAATGTTTGTGTTATTATCACAAATACATGTTGGTATAGTCAACGACTGGATGGTAGCATGTCGATTTTGGAGCTGTAGTTGGCTGGATGACACTGTTAACTTTTGTTTATATCTTACTTGTAGGAAAGCAGAGGGCTAAATATAAAGATACAGAGGGCAGTGGGCCAGACTTAGAACTAAACAACAACAGAAGAGAAGACATTGTCACGGTTGTTTGTGTTTTTAACCATAGTTAATTATATACGTTTCATTGGTTGTCCTTCTGTAGTTTACACAATTCTGTACTTATTGAATACTCGATTCATTGCTCAGTGTTTTCAGACACCTGTGATAAGCGCAGAGTTACACAATCATCTGTTCATGTGTCAATAAAATGAGCTTTATCAGGGGGAGTGTCCACTGCACACACGCACCTCCTGAACGCATCAAGGCGAAACTTCTTAAACTGGATACAAGACAAGACAGACACAAATAAGACACAAACAATATAAGGAGGGGAAAATCAAAGATAAGACAATTGAAAGAAGTGGTTATAGATAATATAGATAGCGGCTGTGATGTAGCACATCAAACTGAACATTATGTGGCTTATACATAAATAAGGAAAGTTGTATTGGCTTCAGTGATCTCTGCTGGAACTATATGGTTTATTTATGACCACACTCTCCTCTGTCCATGATGCTTTTAACTTTGTATTTTAACTGTTTTTAAAATGGCACTTTTTACTTGTATGTAAGGCGACGAGTGTCAAGAAAGGCGCCTAAGAAATAAAATGTATTAAATGTATTATTTAACTGTAAATGTTATTGGTTTACCCCCTTTCAAAAGCTGCTTTTTTGGCCTGTATGTTGTGTTGATGCTGAAAATGTGCCATAAGGCGAATAGAATGGAGCCATATATGAACTGTCTTTTCCGGTTGTCATTTTTCCTTTCACCTGACTTCTCTTTGGTCAGTAATGATGAGGTAAAGTTTGTAAAGCAGCAGAGAATGGGGGGGGGGGCTGTCATGTTTGGTGCAGATGTGAATTATTCATGCAGTCAGGCCGCGCGCTGGTGAAGTCACAGTAGTGTAAGTAATGGCGTGTGTCACACAAATCAACAGCCGTGATGACCTCATTTCACCACATAACTACCGTCCGCCCACTCCCTGTTTAAGGAGCCCAGACGGGAGACGCACGTGCAAAGATCTGTCCCAGCATGCGATCAGCTATCAAGTATTAGCTCTCTGAAATACAATAACTCTACTGTGTTGTACAAACCGGTAATATTGCAGCTTTGATCACTCTACGAACAGTGGCAATTAGGTTTAAAACCGCAATGGCCTTTACAGAACATATTAACAATACTGCTTTAGGCTGTTTGCTACAGAGAGCAAAGGGAATTTGTTTGTCCCACAATTTCATAATGGGATTTAGGCTTCACTTGGAAGTCTTATTAGGGCCAATTTTACACAGGTCTGGTTCACTTTAACTGAACCAATTCTGCTTTAGGAAGATTCATCTTGTCTTCTTAGTGGACGTATTTGTTTCTTCTATACCAGACAATATGTAATAGCATTGTTAACCTACTATTGTCTGGTATAGAAGAACCAAAGACTTTTATGACCCAATTCTGTCTGATTTGCTTGCAAAAAAACAGCTTTATTTGCTGCCAAACATGTGTCCAGTAGTCACTAAAGTCAGTCTACATACATTTGTCCCAATTGAACCTGATCACTCTAAGTCTGACTTATGGTGGCAAGATTTTTAAAATTATAAACTGGGGTGAAACCTAATGGTCGTGGGTTCGATTCCACCACGACCCATGTCATCTGCTCCCACTGATGTCTGCTGTCGTTGTGTCCCTGGGCAAGACACTTAACCCCACTTTGCCTGAAGTCCCCGCTGAAAGATCAAGGCCGTAACTGTGATAGTAAGTAGTAAGTAAGTAGTAGTAAGTAGTAAGTAAGTATTTATTTATATACCGCCTTTTCACTGCAGATCTGAGTCTCAAAGCGGTTTACAATTGTTAATTTTTGGGCATTTGTCTCTCACTCCACACAGAGATGGGAGCGCGGTCGCCAGTACAGGAGGCGCATGCTAGAACTATTGGACATATTTTTAGTGGTAGGGGAAACCGGAGTACCCGGAGGAAACCTACGCAGACACGGGGAGAACATGCAAACTCCACTCAGAAAGGCCCTGGTCTGACCGGGATTCGAACCCAGGACCTTCTTGCTGAGAGGCGAGAGTGCTATCCACTCTGCCACCGTGCCACCGTGCCGCTGTGATGAAGGAACAGCCATCTTCCCGTGGACCCACCACCTGCAGGAGGATCAGCGAGGGACTGGTGCTATGTGAATTGGGTGGCAACTCTGACTGCCACCCCCCTGACCCAGAAATGGACAATAAAGGGATGAGAATGAATGAATGAATGAACTGGGGTGCAACCGGGTCGATGGTTAAAAATGTGGTAAGTGAGATCACCTCTGAGATCGGTCACTTATGAGTCAATATACTGTGTGTTATCTGAGAGACACCTTTCCATGCTTTTTTGTGGTTTGAATCGTTCATGAATGGTTTTCCAGAATGCCCAAACAAATAATACATCACCTGTCTACTGTTGGTATCAGTATCAAATTGGTTAAACAAAAATATTATGGCTGGCATAAGTTCTGTGAAAACCTCACTTTAATTGTGCCAACAGAAAAAGAACAGAAAGAACGCTTAATGGAACGCTTTGTGGGCAAATACATCTTAATAGAAAACATACTTGAGCCATGTGAGTCAATATTTGATGCGTTTGTCTGAGAGCTGATTCGCCAAGTGAGGGATCATCCTCTTTTTCACTTTTATGTCTGAGAAATCTGATTTATAGATGTGGCAGAGGCAAAAAAATATATGTACGTGAAAACTGTTTGGAGAGTGAGGAACTAGTTGGATGGATTTTACTCTCTGTGGTTTGATAGTACCCCACAGCAGACCCTACCACACTCAACAGACTCAATAATTATCATTATTCCGTTCATTTGCAATAACTACATATCGAAGCCAATGCTGAGGTGACTTTCCACCTTTGATGATTGTACAAGTTATAATTGACTGTTTACACTTGGGAGTTGGCCCTTTTTCCACTTTCTCACCTCTGAACAACACCACAATCCTTTGGTTCAGACTTTTCCACAGACGCAGCTGCAGGTGCTAGAGTTGAACCACACCTGGGAGCGCAGACGACTCACCAGATGAAATCGACAGCTATTGTGAAAACTCAGACAACAACAAGCTGCACAGACAGACAGACACTCAGCTGTGCAGGAGAAATGTTTCCTTTTTACACACGGCCATGGCAACATAAGCAAACACAGACAGGGGTAGTTTGTTGTTTATCGGAATGTGGTGGAACAATTATGGCCCAGCAATGTAAAAATAGGAATTTAAGAATGCAAATGTGTTTCATCCTATTGAGGCTAATTGAAAAATACTACAGCTACATTGTCGATAGTGTTGGTCTCGCCAGCAAGCTGCAAAATCTTCAAAATAGGCTGTAACATTAATATTTATTGTTGCGTAAGTACCTGAAACTGTAATGACAAATTAAAACATTGAACGGCACAAAAATAATTCTGATTTTGAACAGCAAATCAAAATCAGAATATTTTTTATTGCCACTGTGCAGGAAGTCACAGACTAGGAATTTGCTTTGGTGTAGTAAAACGTAAATAGTATATATAGAGGTATGCATAAAAACATCTACTATATACAGTAAGTACACACAATAGACATTTACCAGGGCAGATAAGTATAAAGTATAAAGTTTGGGCTGACATACAGTATTTTCACACTGGCAAAAACTCTGGGATGCCTGTTCTTTCAAGCAACTGCTCTTTCCACTATAAAGTTGTTCTTGTTAAAAAAAAAAAGAAAAAAGAAAATGTTAGAAAGGGTTAATTGCTCCACGTGGATGACAAACTTTATGTTTAGTCCATTATAATGCAATTTCCTCTGGTTCCGGGTACTCGCTGGAACCAAAGGCTATTATTGAGAGTCGATAGATGGTCTAGGTTTTATTTAGTCAAATTGGGACAGAGCAAATTAATACACTTTTGTTTTTTATCCTACATGTAAATGTGCCGGAGACAAGACATATACAACAGGCACAAACACACAATCAAAACACGTTCGCAAAGTCACAAAAGCACAGACTTTGACACGTTCCAGTCTTCCCTGTGGTGAAAAGTCAACACGGGTCCAGACAAGGAGTCCATTTTATATAGAATTACAAGCAGCACAACCCTTGCTTCTTCAAACTGGCATAATGGCCTGATTTTTGGATCCAACCCCTCATTTCTAAATACGATAAGTTGTCTTTTCGTAAGTGCTCCCTGTGTGCTCTTACTGCTCCTGTATGTGCGCTGCAACATTGACATTTCCTCACTGTGGTACGAATAAAGGATCTCTCATCTTGTCTTTTAAATCACAAATGAATTATAATAAATGAAAATGGTAAAACAAGATTGTGACCCTGTCTGTGAAAAGTGCATTTAAAAAAATATGTTATTTTCTGTGAACACATGCACGCTATATAAATCAGACCCCTGAGTTTTGATGTGGTAACAATGCCAGATTTTTTCCTACTGGTCTATAGACATGACTGGATTAGATCACTTAAGAGTGTAAATGTGTTTTTACTGTACAATGTATGACCTCAGCTTAACGTAAACAGCACGTGACTAACTGGACGACTGACTAATGCTTGTGTCCGTCAGCCTTCCGTGCTTTTGTTCATTCCAGATATTTGTGAAACGTAGAGCAGTCAAAACCAAACATATAAAGAGGAGAAGAGGAAGTATCTTTTATTGTACGTGCCCATGTTCACGGCTCCTCGCCCCAGGCACAGCATGAACCAGACCCTCATTGTCAATAATTTCTTGTCTACTTTGCAGCTCCCGTAGGATCGTGTCTCATCTTGCTGCTGTTGTTTTGTCATTTCGAGCCTCGAATGTGAGGTGATCTCATCTGCGCCTCCTCCAGCCCCCACCCCGTCCTCCCAAAACACTACATTGTATTTATCGGACCAAAATAGCCACCTCAGGCTGGAAAAACCCTAGTCAAGACAAACTGAAATAGGCCAAGACTTTCCAAGGAAGGCAGACTGAGCCGGAGGTGAAGGTTTGACTGACACTGAGACGTTTAGGGGCTACTAAATAAAAACGGATAACTAAAAGCTGACTACACAAAAGCTACTAGTGACTGAACCTTTAGAAAGAAATAAGGAAGAAAATCTGTATCTTACTGATCTTTTTACTCAATCAATACAGTCCCGAGGTGATTTCATAATCTCTCTTTCAGTCTATCAGGGAGGAAACTTGTACAGACACAGGGAGAACAAGCAAATTCCACCCTGAAAGGCCCTGTGCTTCCTGGGAGTCAAACCCAGACTCTTCTGAGAAACAAGAACACTAACGCCTCTCCATTGTGAAGTTGCTAATCATGCAAAATTGTAATCGTTTTGTAAAAATTGTGATCTAGAAGTTAACTTAAACTTTGCTTTTTTCCCCACTATGTGTGCGTTTCTCCATTGTGGACATGACAACGGTTGCCAGGTAGCTTTTACAAATAAAGATGTCCCTATGCTCAGATGTTTTTGAGAGTGTAGAAAATAAAATACAAAATATATATGTTTTCTAATATGTTGTGAGTGTGTGAGTGTTTTGGCCATGGTATAAGATAATTAATGCTTACTTAAATGTAATGGTTTTAACAGCTTTACTTTCGGAAATGATTTGTGTGCAGGGTTGTGTCATATACCTACATGTGTCACCTTTAGGACATTTGTGACAATTCATAACCTGGATTTGGACTGTTACAAAAAATGAGATGTTGCTGAGTCAATCTGCGAAAGAAGAATGTTTTTCATTTTGAGTCACATCACTGAGTTTTAAAGCAGTTGTTTTTGAAGGTACTGCTTTGAACAATTCATTTCAACCCATTGATGTCAATAACTATAATATCGCAGATTCCGGCCTGCAT